CCAGCGTAACTCATGTGCAGCCATGGCCCCTGCGTAGATCTCAGCCTTACAGCTGGAGCTGAGAACAAAAGACGAGCGGGTAGACCGCCACGAAACAGAACCGGAGCCAAGGCTGAAGGTGTAACCCTGTGACGACCGCTGCGTAGCCAAGTCGTCAACCCAAGAAGCGTCTGCGTGACCAGTGAGGACAAATTGAGCCCGTCCTCCAAGCACTAGCCCCATGCCCGACGTACTGCACAAGTAGCGCAACACCCTCTTCGCTGCAGCCATGTGCTCTGGTCGGTGTCTCCCAGGAGCAACATAGCGCGCCAAGATGCTAAGAGGGTATGCCAAGTCAGGTCGAGTGCAGGTCATCAGGTACATGAGGCAGCCAACAAGCTCTGGGTACGGGCCACTCGGCTCTACGGACTCATCCGAAGGCAGAGCTGAGAGCGAGTGGCCGGTAGACAGAGGAGTGGCCTGAGGCGAGGAGTACGTGAAGTTGAAGCGCTGAAGGACCTGCTGCACCATGTGCGACTGAGTCAAGGTAATGGTGCGCCGTGCTCTGTCCTGGGTGATCTGCAGGCCAAGATAGCTGCGCAGTTCACCCAGGTCTGTGCACGTGTGTCTCTTCTGCAGCTCCGACTTCACGTGGGCGAGTCCTTCAGTGTCAGCAGTGGCAAAGACCAAGTCGTCAACGTACACGAGGATGTAGAACGGCGGCAGTGAAGTGTCGTTGCGTAGAAACAGCGACGGGTCAGAAGTAGAAGGAGCAAACCCAAGAGCCGCACGCGTAAACCTCAGTGTGTCGTGCCACTCACAGGGCGCCTGGCGGAGACCGTAGACAGGCCGCCGGAGGCTCCACTGGGTACCAGGAGGAAACGACCCAGTGAAGCCAGGTGAGCGGCGCAGCCAGATCTCCTCGTGCAGGCTTCCCTGTAGGAAAGCAGTGCTGAAGTCAAGAGAGTGAAGCTCGTAGTCACGCTAAGCAGCGACGTGCAGCAGAACCCGAAGAGTTCGGGGTCGGGGAGAAGGTCTGGAAGAAGTCAACTCCCTGTCGCTGACTGAAGCCTCGAGCAATGTAACGCGCCTTGAAGACAGGCGGAGAACCCGGCGGCCGCTTCACCCTGAAAATCCACATGCCGTCGACGATGTTCGCCCCGGGAGGGGGAACCTCATCGACGTACGTGCCTGTGGACTTCCAGGATGCCATCTCTGCGTCCATGGCTGACTGCCACTGAGAGGAGTAGGGACCCTCTATCGCCTCTGCGTAAGAGCGCGGGGTCGGGATTTTTGGTGCATCCGGGTCTCCCTCAGGTGCAATCAGCATGGACACGAGATGAGGCACAGTGGCTGCAAAGCACTCAAAGTCCTCCTCCCTATCCTTAAGGATGTCCGTGCCAAGAGCACACTCACCCCCGACGGACCGAGGACAGACAGACTCAGACTCAGCAACAAGACTCGCGGCGTAGTCTAGACGACAGGCAGCAGCAAAGTCAACAAGCTCAGCAACTAAGGCAGACGCAGTAGTGGACTCAAAGGAAGGGTCAGTGACAACAGTGGCCAGGAGACGCGTGACAGTAGGACTAGCAGCACGAAGAGAGTCAGACTCAGGGTCCGGACTGTCAGCAAGGGATGACGCAGGAGGAGACGGTAGAGGAACACGCTCTGTAGCAGTCGACGGACGAAGTGCCATCTGGTGCGTGCCGGGGACAGGAGGAGAACGCGGTCGCGGAACACGACGACTATCGCGAGCAGTGCAAACGGGCCTAGCAGAATTGATTTCCTGCATGGCAGAGATGGTGGTGGGAGTGAGACGGCGTGGGAATGAGATGGTCGTTGGGGCGTGGCTGCGATTGCCCAGCTCTGACCCCATCATAACCTCATCAGCCCATCATTGCTCTCATATCCCCATCAGCCCATCATTGCTCTCATATCCCCATCATAACCCCATCAGCCCATCATTGCTCTCATATCCCCATCATAACCCCATCAGCCCATCATTGCTCTCATATCCCCATCGGCCCATCATTGCTCTCATATCCCCATCAGCCCGTCATTGCTCTCATATCCCCGTCATAACCCCATCAGCCCATCATTGCTCTCATATCCCCATCATATCCCCATCAGCCCATCATTGCTCTCATATCCCCATCATATCCGCATCAGCCCATCATTGCTCTCATATCCCCATCATATCCCCATCATATCCCCACCATATCTCCATCAGCCTGTGTGCCCCATGCATGTGCGTACAGCCCCTGCGCAGTCTTCCCGGCACCCACGTGGCAACTGCCTCCTGCCCCCCTCCCCCCACGTGCGTACAGCCCCTGCGCAGTCAGGCCAATGATAGCGTGCCTCCGGCAGCACGCTCTTGAGCAGCCAAAGGCAACGCAATGCAAGGAGAGAGTGGGTGAGGGCACTGCAAGGAAAGTATGACAGAATTCATGCGGCACGCGAGGCTCTACAGGGCGGAAAAGTTGAGAAAAGCAGCAGGAGGGGGGGTCAAAGGCCAACCGCGAGACCCGTGGGGGGGCTTGGCAGGAGACGAACGAGCGGCGATCGCGAGGATCTGTGAGGCAGGTGAGCAGGCCACGTGGAAGATAGACTTCCTATCCATATGGCAGAACCCCAAGACCTTCCATCGTCCACCGTAGGCGGGTACAGGGGGGCGGCGCCGGAGTCTTTAGACTATGGTTAGCAAGGTTCCCTCTGGAATTCAGTTACGAATGTGAATGTATTTGCATTGGAATAGTGCAAACTCGTTCAAAAAAACACTTGCCGAAATTTTCTTTCCCAACACCTTCGCAAACACTCTGCAGTTGATTTTGAGAACCAGCCAACCATACCTAACGTCGGGTCGGGCTTTTACAGATCACACTTTTCACTCGAATGGAATCTTGAAGGTAGGAAAGTGGGTCGGGAGCTTCCTCTACAGGCAAACGTTGGTCTCGTTGCCATTCCATCGCCATTCACCCCCCCAAGCAGAATTGCCTTGGAATGGCCATGGGATTGGAAGGATGTGGAGGGTGGGGATGGGGAATTGGAAGGTGGGGATGGTGGTTCTTGATCCCGTTGCCACCCTTCCGCTTTCTAGCGCGAAATTTCGCGATTTGGCCATTCCCTCCACACCTATTCGGGAGGTTCCTCCTCTGGTTCGTGATTCCACGGCCATTCCGAGGTAGCTGCGGCCTACATACTTCGAGCGGGAGGCCTGGGATTATCACTTGAAAACAGGGTGACCAGTTTTTGGACTCGGCCCCCTTACCTGCAAAACTAACGGTTGAGAGGGGTGGAGAGAGGGGGTTGGGGTTCTTTCCGTACGAAACCGAACTCCCCATGTTGTTTCCCGCCCTTCCGCGGACCCTCCTCCAAACCACCCGTCAGCACAAAATTGGGCTGGATTCGCGTTTCCTGGGATGTTCATACGGCGCGGCTCGGGAAAAACCCCGCCCACGCCTGGGGATGTACGGGGCGCGGAGCTATCGCGGGAGGCGTGGGCCGAAGTCGGCCCACCAGGATCCCACCAGTTTTGGACCTTGCGCGGCCCTGCGTGGCTGCCACCGAAAGCTCCGCGACACCCCAAAAACCGAAAGAACCCACCTCGTTCTTACGCGCCAATGCATGCGCAACTCTGTAAAAAACGCATGCGATTGGTCGCATCACAGTCAAGTGGGAATCCGCGCGCATGCAAATGCGCGTTCGCGAAACACACGGAGTGTCATGATTGGCCGAGATGTCTCGAAGCATGTCGCAAACAAAATTCGCACAAGGATAGGTTTGGTGAGTGCGCTGCGAGTGTTAGTTCTAAGACACCTGGCGCAATCTGACAGGCACCATGCTGACTGACACGTGCAGCAAATTGAGCGTCACACACAGGTGTCGCTGTTTGGTCGAGACGCGAACGCGGAGACGTGTCAAGCACGTCTTTGCCATGGCCGGTCATTACACCCAGCATGGCCACAATAGCGCTTTACGCTCGCTAGTTGCACACCAAGCTACGCCCTCTCTTGAACCCATTGAATTTAGATGACTTAGGCGGGAAACGGGCATCTTGTGTCGCGGTCACAAGTTGGGCCGCGCTTCAGTGTTAGTGGGCTCCCTGGCCGCGATGCTCATCACGAACCGATAACACACGCGTGAGGACAGTCCATTCCTGGATGTACACGTAGACCTCGCATCATGTTGACGCGTGCGTTAGGTAGGAGTAGGGGTAGTCGCGTACGGTGCATGCATACTGTTAATCGCGTCGCGACGACGCTAATTCACGACTCCACTAATGCCTCTGGCAGAACGCCCGGGCCGATAATGCACAATGCGGACGCAGCTAGCGCTCCCGTGCCAAGCATGCCCGCGCTCAATCCCACCTGGAGCACCCCCTACGTGCCTGTACTTTTTGGGTCACGATTGCCCGCGTTCCACCCACAGCAACTGATCAACGGGATTCAACTCGCACCACGCTCACAGATTCCACTTGCTTCGGCCTCGTTCGCGTTTCAGACGCAACGGGATGACCAGTGCACGCACGGAGTATTCACGCCTCATCCCGGAACACAGACTGACGGACACAACCCGTCTCCGGCGTCCGGGCCGACAAGCTAGCCCTTTGGGATGCCCGTACAGGGCTACGTCAGGCCGCAATACGCGAATTACGGGTTCAGGTACGGGTACATCGGCGTTCAGCCAGACCCCGTGGTGCACGCACCCGCAAATGTCGCGACGCCTCCAGTCGCCCCCCAACCCCGTTTCCTAACCCGATTCACGCGGATATCCCACCAACGGGGCCTCCAGATCGTATAGGTCCATCGGAGGTCGGTGTGGACACACACGCGCGACCAGACGGCCCGTCAACGATTGCGGGTGCGGAGGAGATAGGACGTGCGGTGACTAGTGAAGCGGGGATGAATGCAATCGCGCGTGCACAATTGCCTCCGATATGGAACGTGAACTCGCTGTTGCCAGGGAACCCGGACGTCCACATCAACACCCCCGGTAGAGGTATGCAACCACAGTCGAACGCGATGAATGCGGGGAGAGGGACCGGCGCAAGAGGGAACGTGGGGAGAGGGCCCGGTGCGATAGGGAACGAGGGGAGAGGGACCGGTGCGAGAGGGAACGCGGGTAGAGGGAACGCGGGGGATGGGACCGCGGGGAGGGGGACCGGTGCGAGAGGGAACGCGGGTAAATGGAAGGCGGGGGGTGGGACCACGGGGAGAGGGACAGGTGCGAGAGGACACGGTGGGAGAGGTGCCCGGGGAAGAGGGGCCAGTGGGAGAGGGGCCGGGGGTAGTGCTAACGGGGGGAGCGCTCCTGGTGGGACTGGAACCGGTGCGCAAAGGAACGGTAGTAACGCGAACGGCGGTGCCGCGAACCAGCCCGCTAATAGGCCGTGTATTAGGAGGCGGAGAGTTGATGTAGTGCCGCACACCAAGCGCAACGGGACCGGGGAGGGGGGCGAGGGGCCGAGCGACGAGGACGACGACGACGATGATGATGACAGCGATAGCGGCGACGGGTGGACCTAGCTAACTCGTTGTCCGCGCTCCATGAGGGGGAGGCGAAAGACATGGAACGGGTGAGGGGAACGCGGACGGACAACGAGGTCCCGATCGCGGATTGGAACCGGCTTGGTGTGGACGACACACCTGCCACGAAAAGAGAGATGTGCATGGGAATCCTCTACGGTCTATCCGAGGCCACGCTGAAGAAGAATCACGGTTGGGCCAACGAGTACAAGCGGTTCATGGCGCACGAGCTGCCAAAACTGGACGAGGGTAGGTTCGGGGAGGAGGCTGCGTTGAAAAACACGAACCCAGACGAGATCGGGGCCGCGCTCGAACAGAACATGGGTGGTAGTTGGAAGATGGCGAAGGGCGACGAACAGCCCTGCAATGAGACGGAGAAAGAAGAGCGGCAGGCCTTCTTGTTTAGCAACATGCCTGCATGCTCTCCGCCCCCCTCCCTCACTCTCCCCCAACACACACACACCTTGAGTAGGGCTGGTAGCCCCCCTGCGATGAGGAAGTGGACGCAGGGCGGCAGGCCGTAACAAAAGAGATACAGCGGCATGCCCATACCATGCCATGCACATGCGCACAGCCTCACACTCTCACTAGCACATACACACACCTTGAGTTGGGCCAATAGGTCTCCTGCAATGAGGAAGTGGAAGCAGGGAGGCAGGCCATATCAAATGAGAACATGCTATCTATTCTCCCCCCCCCTGTTCCCCTCCAACCCCCCACCTACATTCAGCAATGCTGGTAGTCACCCTAAACCCTAAACTCTTTAGCGCAGCGTTGAAACAGAGAACCACCTGCAGGTGTATTTTCAGGTGGTTGGTCAGGTTATGGTTGCTTGGCAAGTGGTGACGGTCCCATGCAGTGATATGAAATTGTCCATGATGTGAAAAGGTTTCCAGGTGAGTTCAGTGTACAGATTACGTTTTGAATTGAAGCGCTCCAATAGCAGACATAACATTTGTAACTACGAAAAAAATTATGATGTTCACACTGAAAATTCTCAGAAACTGAATGGAGGGGAGAGGCCGATCATTAGAGGTAGAGGGGAAAGAGAAAAAAAGAAACAAAACAAGAGAGTATGAATCGAAAAAGCGCCTGACAGTCGCCTAACAAAGATGCAGCAGGAAGGCTAGCAAAGAGGCACATGACAGGCGAGGCGAACAAGGAAGCACCTGGAAGGCTAACCTACCACTGGTGCCAGCACCTGACACCACCAATGCACTATCTCGAGAGATGAGGCGGTAATAAGGAGGATAAATGCGAGGGGAGAAAGGCGGTAAGGTGGGGGCCGGGACAGTGGGTGTCTGCTGGGGGAATGCATATGTGCCCGCACCACCACCACTGCATCAATCTTGATGGATGAAATTCGGCAGTGGTGGGGAGGATAAATGCGAGCAGGGAGAAGGAGAGAAGGCAGTGGGGATAGTGGGTGGGAGGAAGGGGAGAGAAGGGAGGGCTGGTGGGGCTTTTGAGCCGACTCAGAACCTGAAAAGGTATTCTGCCGCTGGACACATGTGTTTGGTACCTGCATCTGGTACCACCACATCCTGAGGGGAGGGATGGTGGGGAGGGGACCATGATTAGGAATTTGAGAGGAAGGGGAAAGAATCTTGCAGCAGACAAAAATCTTGCAGCGCTCCAACAAGTCTTTTTGGCTGGATTAGGCTGGTCCCATTCATTTATTCGTAATCCCAACACAACTGCACTGTACTCCACAATGATTACCTTTGGCGTCAGACATTAGTAGTCTTTGAGACGCCTCAAAAAGAGTCTCGTCCTCTGTTTTGAGCCACCCCGAAAAAGCGTCTACGACTCCCTTGGGGACCGGAAACTTCGCACGCACCAAAGCATTGCCTTTCTTTGAAAAGGAATTTCGTAATGAGAATGCCTACAACTCGAATATGCTGTAGAAGAGACGAACAGCAAACGGATAATGAGCACCAGGGGGGTGGGTTTGGTATGGATGCACAGAACCATGGCTTTCATCTAGCTTAGGCCTCCCACCACTCCGAAGCACCGCACATATTTTCTCCTCCCTCTCTTCTTCCTCCTCTTCCTCCTCCTCCTCCCCCTCCCCGTGCCCCTCCCCCTCCCCCTCCCTTTCTCCCTTCCCCACCCATTCCCGTTTCCTCACCTCCTCTCTGGTTCCATCCCCATCCCACGTCTCCTTATTCCCCCCCTCCCCATAACCCCGCTCCCCCTCCCCACCCACACCTCCCTCCGCGCCTGTCTTGCCAGCACCACCATCGTTTCAAGCGGCTCACTCGCTTCTGGGTAACTGGGTTCACCCGCACTCGCCCTTCCCCGCTGGCTCCCCCGCGAGCCCCAGCGCACGCCCCCCTCGCGCCTCTCCTCTTGCCTCTGGCGCATGATCTCCCCCGATCACTCTCTCCCACTTTTCCCACCCCTCCGTCTGCCTCTTCTCCGCACCTCTCCTCTCCGGCTCAGCCCTCTGTTCCGCCTGCTCCTGCCCCTCGCCTCGCGTCTGCCAAACTCAAACCACACGCGCCCGCAACCCCCTTTTCCCCTCCCCTCCCTGCGCCTCCCCTCCCCGCTCCACCTCCCTTCCACCCACGTGCTGCCAATCGTCACTGCTACCCCCGTCACTGCTACCCCCGTCACTGCTACCCCCGTCACTGCTACCCCCGTCACTGCTACCCCCGTCACTGCTACCCCCGTCACTGCTACCCCCGTCACTGCCACCCCCGTCACTGCTACCCCCGTCACTGCCACCCCCGTCACTGCTACCCCCGTCGCTGCTACCCCCGTCACTGCTACCCCCGTCTGGCAAGTACAAGATGGTGCTCCCTCTTCGCGCTGCCGCCGCCACTGCGCCCTGTGCTGCTCACATCGACACATGCTACCTCCGCCGCTGCCGTCGCCGCTGTTTCGGCCCGCTTCCGCCCGTGGAAGCTCCCCCTGCGCGCGCGTGCTGGCCCCACCCGCCATTGCCGCTTCACCTCGCGCATCTGCTGCCGCGGCTCTCCACTATCGCAAAACGGTCTTTGACGCTTTATCTACGTCGACAGTCGCTCAATCGTCTCAGTCCGTCGCCCGCGTCGCAGTCCGTTGCTCCCTTGTCACCGTACGCCGCATTCTGTCATTGCCTGTTTGTCGCCCTGTCGCAGTGGAGCGGGCTTCTACCGCCTCTTCACGCCACCACCGCCGTCACCGCCGCTCTGACCTGTGCTGCTCGCAGCGACACGGCTGCTTCCGCCGGTGACCCCGCCGCCGTCGCCGCCGCTGTCTCGGCAGCCGCGCCGCCCGCCATTGCTGCTGCTCCTCGCTCCTCTGCTTTCGCGGCATTCCGCCATCGCGAAACGTTTTAATCGCTATCGTCGTCTACCGTCGCTTTCTCGCCGTCTACCGTCGCTCTTCGACCACCGTCGCTCGTCGCTCTCGCGTCGTCTACCATCGCTCGTCTGCTGTTCCTTTTCTGTCGTCCACTATCCCTTTTTCGCCGTCGACAGTCGCGGTTTTGTCGACGTCCGTCGCTCTGTCGTCTCCCTGTCTGTCGCTTTGACGCGACTGCTATCGAGCCGCTAAATGACGCGGCACCTTGAACACGGGTCCCGTGTGTACTCGAGTCTTGACAGTGGCGAATGTTCGCCTGGTGGTGGGGTGACGCGATGTAGGCTAATAGGAAAAAAATGATTCAATGAACAAACTGTTATGAGTGCGCGGTTTGTACAAACTATAAATCCACAGAACCGAACGTCCTACTAGAGTCTACAACGAGGGCAAATTAGGCAGAGCCGAGCTAGGCGAGGGCCTCGGGGGCGAGGCTCGGAATGAGGCGAAACGTTCGGTGGCGACTCGGAAGTGGTTCGGTACGAAATTGTAGGCCGAACCAGCGAACTCGTCGGAACATACAAACCAGAGTAATCTACAACACGAAAAATAAAATGCTTATACAGATTACATCGTAAAGAACTGAGTACTACATACTATTTTGAATCAACCCTAATCAATTTCCCCACAAACGATACGAGATCACTAGACACATTCAACCATCGCAGGTATTCATTTACGCACTATGATGCATAAGAACTTAGCTAGTGCAGTGCAATTTTATAGACCAAGAGGCACTACCCCCATTGTTGGTACAATATTTTCCCCTCCAGGACTCTGCATTTCACGGTTGCAAGTCATGGCTGCAGCCTGCCTGGCTCTTGGACCTCTTGATGCCCCAGCAGCTTTCAACTCCTGCTATCACGTGCCATGTCCTCCCCCTCTCTCATACCCATCCCCTCTATGCATTACCTTCTGCCTCCTGCCCGCCCCTCCTGCCATAACTGCCTTTGCCAGAACGCTCCTCAGCAGGCTGTGAGTGGTAGGTGGGAGTCAGGTCAAAGCAAGCACGCTCAGCCTGCGCCTCCTGCCTTAGCTGTCTCCCCTGCTCCGCCTCCCCTGCTCCGCCTCCCCTTCTGACATAAATGCCTCTGCCAGAATGCTCCTTTGCAGCCTGTGCGCCCCATTCATGTATGGTGAGTCGACTTTTGCGACGACTCAGAAGTCACCTCACCTCAGCAGGCTGTACACCCCGTCGCTGTGTGGGTGAGGGGGACGCAAGCACAGCGCACAGGCCAGCTCGTTTTGCATGTTTCGAGTTAACTCAAATCACACTCTCTGCCAGAACGTCCCTCAGCTGGCTGTGCACCTTGCCGGCATGTGGCGGGGGAAATGCAAGCACAGCTCACAGCCCGGCACCTCTTGAGCAGCCACCTGCTTGTTTCTTTCCCCCTTCCCTTCCCACCACCCATGCACCAATTGTCCCGCTCCTCCTGCCCCTCCTGCCACAGCTCTCGCCCCCGCTCTGTCTTTGCCAGCATGCTCTTGGCGTGAAGGGAAGGCTTGTTGCTGCAAGCTTGGCAATGAATGTCGTCAGCAGCCCGCAGGTTTCACGTAAAATGTGCACTCAAGGGGATAGGGAATAATGGGCCACAAATCAGTGCACACCTGCAGCAGCTCCTGGGTCCCCATGAACAGTGCGCACACGTTGCAGGGGCAAGAAATCATGGCCTAGACATGGGTGGCTCTTGAGACGTCTCAGGAGAAGCAGGTGCCTTTTGAGACGTCTCAAGAGAAGCAGGTGCGGTGCGGAGCTGGCGGGGAACAAAAGTTTACTGGCTCCACTGTGCACAGCAGGGGGATGGGTGAGGGGAGAAGGGCGGCAGTGGGGAACAGAGGGACGAAAGAAGAGAGCCACTGGTTGGCTGCTACAGACACACCCAGAGACGGGGAAAACTGTGGAGATGGGAATGGGGAAGGGGATGAGGACTGACCTGAGAATGACCTGAGAATGACCTGAGAATGACCTGAGAATGACCTGAGAATGACCTGAGAATGACCTGAGACCTGAGAATGACCTGAGAATGACCTGAGAATGACCTGAGAAGGACCTGAGAAGGACCTGAGAATGACCTGAGAATAACCTGAGAATGACCTAAGAATGACCTGAGAATGACCAGAGAACGACCTGAGAATGACCTGAGAATGACCTGAGAATGACCTGAGAATGACCTGAGAATGACCTGAGAATGACCTGAGAATGAACAGAGAATGACCTGAGAATGACCTGAGAATGACCTGAGAATGAGCATGACCTGAGAATGACCTGAGAATGACCTGAGAATGACCTGAGAATGACCTGGAAATTATCTGAGAATGACCTGACAAAGGCATAAGATAATCGGTGAGTGATCATAGAAGGAGCAATGAGATCGGAGCCATGATGGGAAGGGTAGCAGCAAGTGGGGTTGAAAGAGACGGTTTTGAGAATTCTCACAAGCGACTCAGATTTGGCCAGTTTTCACTTCCCTCAATATCTAGTCTGTTGGAATTCAGATTCTTGGTTGATGAAGGCATGGAACAATACTGGGAGCTCACCCACTAGGTACTTACGACAGTCCATGAGGGGTCAAGGAACTGAGGGAATGGGTCAGGGGACTGAGGGAATGGGTCAGGGGATTGAAGGAATGTGTCAAGGGACTGAGGGAATGTGTCAGGGGACTGAGGGAATGGGTCAGGGGACTGAGGGAATGGGTCAGGGGACTGAGGGAATGGGTCAGGGGACTGAGGGAATGGGTCAGGGGACTGAGGGAATGGGTCAAGGGACTGAGGGAATGGGTCAAGGGACTGAGGGAATGGGTCAAGGGACTGAGGGAATGGGTCAAGGGACTGAGGGAATGGGTCAAGGGACTGAGGGAATGGGTCAAGGGACTGAGGGAATGGGTCAAGGGACTGAGGGAATGGGTCAAGGGACTGAGGGAATGGGTCAAGGGACTGAGGGAATGGGTCAAGGGACTGAGGGAATGGGTCAAGGGACTGAGGGAATGGGTCAAGGGACTGAGGGAATGGGTCAGGGGACTGAGGGAATGGGTCAGGGGACTGAGGGAATGGGTCAGGGGACTGAGGGAATGGGTCAAGGGACTGAGGGAATGGGTCAAGGGACTGAGGGAATGGGTCAAGGGACTGAGGGAATGGGTCAAGGGACTGAGGGAATGGGTCAAGGGACTGAGGGAATGGGTCAAGGGACTGAGGGAATGGGTCAGGGGACTGAGGGAATGGGTCAGGGGACTGAGGGAATGGGTCAGGGGACTGAGGGAATGGGTCAGGGGACTGAGGGAATGGGTCAAGGGACTGAGGGAATGGGTCAAGGGACTGAGGGAATGGGTCAAGGGACTGAGGGAATGGGTCAAGGGACTGAGGGAATGGGTCAAGGGACTGAGGGAATGGGTCAAGGGACTGAGGGAATGGGTCAAGGGACTGAGGGAATGGGTCAAGGGACTGAGGGAATGGGTCAAGGGACTGAGGGAATGGGTCAAGGGACTGAGGGAATGGGTCAAGGGACTGAGGGAATGGGTCAAGGGACTGAGGGAATGGGTCAAGGGAGTGAGGGGATGGGTCAAGGGACTGAGGGAATGGGTCAGGGGACTGAGGGAATGGGTCAGGGGACTGAGGGAATGGGTCAGGGGACTGAGGGAATGGGTCAGGGGACTGAGGGAATGGGTCAAGGGACTGAGGGAATGGGTCAAGGGACTGAGGGAATGGGTCAAGGGACTGAGGGAATGGGTCAAGGGACTGAGGGAATGGGTCAGGGGACTGAGGGAATGGGTCAAGGGACTGAGGGAATGGGTCAAGGGACTGAGGGAATGGGTCAAGGGACTGAGGGAATGGGTCAAGGGACTGAGGGAATGGGTCAAGGGACTGAGGGAATGGGTCAAGGGACTGAGGGAATGGGTCAGGGGACTGAGGGAATGGGTCAAGGGACTGAGGGAATGGGTCAAGGGACTGAGGGAATGGGTCAAGGGACTGAGGGAATGGGTCAAGGGGACTGAGGGAATGGGTCAAGGGGACTGAGGGAATGGGTCAAGGGACTGAGGGAATGGGTCAAGGGACTGAGGGAATGGGTCAAGGGACTGAGGGAATGGGTCAAGGGACTGAGGGAATGGGTCAAGGGACTGAGGGAATGGGTCAAGGGACTGAGGGAATGGGTCAAGGGACTGAGGGGAATGGGTCAAGGGACTGAGGGAATGGGTCAAGGGACTGAGGGAATGGGTCAAGGGGACTGAGGGAATGGGTCAAGGGGACTGAGGGAATGGGTCAAGGGGACTGAGGGAATGGGTCAAGGGACTGAGGGAATGGGTCAAGGGACTGAGGGAATGGGTCAAGGGACTGAGGGAATGGGTCAAGGGACTGAGGGAATGGGTCAAGGGACTGAGGGAATGGGTCAAGGGACTGAGGGAATGGGTCAAGGGACTGAGGGAATGGGTCAAGGGACTGAGGGAATGGGTCAAGGGACTGAGGGAATGGGTCAAGGGACTGAGGGAATGGGTCAGGGGACTGAGGGAATGGGTCAGGGGACTGAGGGAATGGGTCAAGGGACTGAGGGAATGGGTCAAGGGACTGAGGGAATGGGTCAAGGGACTGAGGGAATGGGTCAAGGGACTGAGGGAATGGGTCAAGGGACTGAGGGAATGGGTCAAGGGACTGAGGGAATGGGTCAAGGGACTGAGGGAATGGGTCAAGGGAGTGAGGGGATGGGTCAAGGGACTGAGGGAATGGGTCAAGGGACTGAGGGAATGGGTGAAGGGACTGAGGGAATAGGTGAAGGGACTGAGGGAATGGGTCAAGGGACTGAGGGAATGGGTCAAGGGACTGAGGCAATGGGTCAAGGGACTGAGGGAATGGGTCAAGGGACTGAGGGAATGGGTCAAGGGACTGAGGGAATGGGTGAAGGGACTGAGGGAATGGGTCAAGGGACTGAGGGAATGGGTCAAGGGACTGAGGGAATGGGTCAAGGGACTCAGGGAATGGGTCAAGGGACTGAGGGAATGGGTCAAGGGACTGAGGGAATGGGTGAAGGGACTGAGGGAATGGGTCAAGGGACTGAGGGAATGGGTGAAGGGACTGAGGGAATGGGTCAAAGGACTGAGGGAATGGGTCAAGGGACTGAGGGAATGGGTCAAGGGACTCAGGGAAAGGGTCAAGGGACTGAGGGAATGGGTCAAGGGACTCAGGGAAAGGGTCAAGGGACTGAGGGAATGGGTCAAGGGACTGAGGGAATGGGTCAAGGGACTGAGGGAATGGGTCAAGGGACTGAGGGAATGGGTCAAGGGACTGAGGGAATGGGTCAAGGGACTGAGGGAATGGGTCAAGGGAGTGAGGGGATGGGTCAAGGGACTGAGGGAGTGGGTCAAGGGACTGAGGGAATGGGTCAAGGGACTGAGGGAATGGGTCAAGGGACTGAGGGAATGGGTCAAGGGAGTGAGGGAATGGGTCAAAGGACTGAGGGAATGGGTCAAGGGACTGAGGGAATGGGTCAAGGGAGTGAGGGGATGGGTCAAGGGACTGAGGGAATGGGTCAAGGGACTCAGGGAATGGGTCAAGGGACTGAGGGAATGGGTCAAGGGACTGAGGGAATGGGTCAAGGGACTGAGGGAATGGGTCAAGGGACTGAGGGAATGGGTCAAGGGACTCAGGGAATGGGTCAAGGGACTGAGGGAATGGGTGAAGGGACTGAGGGAATGGGTGAAGGGACTGAGGGAATGGGTCAAGGGACTCAGGGAATGGGTCAAGGGACTGAGGGAATGGGTCAAGGGACTGAGGGAATGGGTCAAGGGACTGAGGGAATGGGTCAAGGGACTGAGGGAATGGGTCAAGGGAGTGAGGGAATGGGTCAAGGGACTGAGGGAATGGGTCAAGGGACTGAGGGAATGGGTCAAGGGACTGAGGGAATGGATCAAGGGACTGAGGGAATGGGTCAAGGGACTGAGGGAATGGGTCAAGGGACTGAGGGAATGGGTCAGGGGACTGAGGGAATGGGTCAGGGGACTGAGGGAATGGGTCAAGGGACTGAGGGAATGGGTCAAGGGACTGAGGGAATGGGTCAAGGGACTGAGGGAATGGGTCAAGGGACTGAGGGAATGGGTCAAGGGACTGAGGGAATGGATCAAGGGACTGAGGGAATGGGTCAAGGGAGTGAGGGGATGGGTCAAGGGACTGAGGGAATGGGTCAGGGGACTGAGGGAATGGGTCAGGGGACTGAGGGAATGGGTCAGGGGACTGAGGGAATGGGTCAAGGGACTGAGGGAATGGGTCAAGGGACTGAGGGAATGGGTCAAGGGACTGAGGGAATGGGTCAAGGGACTGAGGGAATGGGTCAAGGGACTGAGGGAATGGGTCAAGGGACTGAGGGAATGGATCAAGGGACTGAGGGAATGGGTCAAGGGACTGAGGGAATGGGTCAAGGGACTGAGGGAATGGGTCAAGGGACTGAGGGAATGGGTCAGGGGACTGAGGGAATGGGTCAGGGGACTGAGGGAATGGGTCAAGGGACTGAGGGAATGGGTCAAGGGACTGAGGGAATGGGTCAAGGGACTGAGGGAATGGGTCAAGGGACTGAGGGAATGGGTCAAGGGACTGAGGGAATGGGTCAAGGGACTGAGGGAATGGGTCAAGGGACTGAGGGAATGGGTCAAGGGAGTGAGGGGATGGGTCAAGGGACTGAGGGAATAGGTGAAGGGACTGAGGGAATGGGTCAAGGGACTGAGGGAATGGGTCAAGGGACTGAGGCAATGGGTCAAGGGACTGAGGTCAGGACTGAATGGGTCAAGGGACTGAGGGGAATGGGTCAAGGGACTGAGGGAATGGGTCAAGGGACTGAGGGAATGGGTGAAGGGACTGAGGGAATGGGTCAAGGGACTGAGGGAATGGGTCAAGGGACTGAGGGAATGGGTCAAGGGACTCAGGGAATGGGTCAAGGGACTGAGGGAATGGGTCAAAGGACTGAGGGAATGGGTCAAGGGACTCAGGGAATGGGTCAAGGGAGTGAGGGAATGGGTCAAGGGACTGAGGGAATGGGTCAAGGGACTCAGGGAATGGGTCAAGGGACTGAGGGAATGTCTCAGGGGACTGAGGGAATGGGTCAAGGGACTGAGAGAATGGGTCAGGGGACTGAGGGAATGGGTCAAGGGACTGAGGGAATGGGTCAAGGGACTGAGGGAATGGGTCAAGGGACTGAGGGAATGGGTCAAGGGACTGAGGGAATGGGTCAAGGGAGTGAGGGGATGGGTCAAGGGACTGAGGGAGTGGGTCAAGGGACTCAGGGAATGGGTCAAGGGACTGAGGGAATGGGTCAAGGGACTGAGGGAATGGGTCAAGGGACTGAGGGAATGGGTCAAGGGAGTGAGGGAATGGGTCAAAGGACTGAGGGAATGGGTCAAGGGACTGAGGGAATGGGTCAAGGGAGTGAGGGGATGGGTCAAGGGACTGAGGGAATGGGTCAAGGGACTCAGGGAATGGGTCAAGGGACTGAGGGAATGGGTCAAGGGACTGAGGGAATGGGTCAAGGGACTGAGGGAATGGGTCAAGGGACTGAGGGAATGGGTCAAGGGACTCAGGGAATGGGTCAAGGGACTGAGGGAATGGGTGAAGGGACTGAGGGAATGGGTGAAGGGACTGAGGGAATGGGTCAAGGGACTCAGGGAATGGGTCAAGGGACTGAGGGAATGGGTCAAGGGACTGAGGGAATGGGTCAAAGGACTGAGGGAATGGGTCAAGGGACTGAGGGAATGGGTCAAGGGACTCAGGGAAAGGGTCAAGGGACTGAGGGAATGGGTCAAGGGACTGAGGGAATGGGTCAAGGGACTGAGGGAATGGGTCAAGGGACTGAGGGAATGGGTCAAGGGACTGAGGGAATGGGTCAAGGGACTGAGGGAATGGGTCAAGGGAGTGAGGGGATGGGTCAAGGGACTGAGGGAGTGGGTCAAGGGACTCAGGGAATGGGTCAAGGGACTGAGGGAATGGGTCAAGGGACTGAGGGAATGGGTCAAGGGACTGAGGGAATGGGTCAAGGGAGTGAGGGAATGGGTCAAAGGACTGAGGGAATGGGTCAAGGGACTGAGGGAATGGGTCAAGGGAGTGAGGGGATGGGTCAAGGGACTGAGGGAATGGGTCAAGGGACTGAGGGAATGGGTCAAGGGACTGAGGGAATGGGTCAAGGGACTGAGGGAATGGGTCAAGGGACTGAGGGAATGGGTCAAGGGACTGAGGGAATGGGTCAAGGGACTCAGGGAATGGGTCAAGGGACTGAGGGAATGGGTGAAGGGACTGAGGGAATGGGTGAAGGGACTGAGGGAATGGGTCAAGGGACTCAGGGAATGGGTCAAGGGACTGAGGGAATGGGTCAAGGGACTGAGGGAATGGGTCAAGGGACTGAGGGAATGGGTCAAGGGACTGAGGGAATGGGTCAAGGGAGTGAGGGAATGGGTCAAGGGACTGAGGGAATGGGTCAAGGGACTGAGGGAATGGGTCAAAGGACTGAGGGAATGGGTCAAGGGACTCAGGGAATGGGTCAAGGGAGTGAGGGAATGGGTCAAGGGACTGAGGGAATGGGTCAAGGGACTGAGGGAATGTCTCAGGGGACTGAGGGAATGGGTCAAGGGACTGAGAGAATGGGTCAGGGGACTGAGGGAATGGGTCAAGGGACTGAGGGAATGGGTCAAGGGACTGAGGGAATGGGTCAAGGGACTGAGGGAATGGGTCAAGGGACTCAGGGAAAGGGTCAAGGGACTGAGGGAATGGGTGAAGGGACTGAGGGAATGGGTCAAGGGACTGAGGGAATGGGTCAAGGGACTGAGGGAATGGGTCAAGGGACTGAGGGAATAGGTGAAGGGACTGAGGGAATGGGTCAAGGGACTGAGGGAATAGGTGAAGGGACTGAGGGAATGGGTCAAGGGACTGAGGGAATGGGTCAAGGGACTGAGGCAATGGGTCAAGGGACTGAGGGAATGGGTCAAGGGAGTGAGGGGATGGGTCAAGGGACTGAGGGAATGGGTCAAGGGACTGAGGGAATGGGTCAAAGGACTGAGGGAATGGGTCAAGGGACTGAGGGAATGGGTCAAGGGACTCAGGGAAAGGGTCAAGGGACTGAGGGAATGGGTCAAGGGACTGAGGGAATGGGTCAAGGGACTGAGGGAATGGGTCAAGGGACTGAGGGAATGGGTCAAGGGACTGAGGGAATGGGTCAAGGGACTGAGGGAATGGGTCAAGGGAGTGAGGGGATGGGTCAAGGGACTGAGGGAGTGGGTCAAGGGACTCAGGGAATGGGTCAAGGGACTGAGGGAATGGGTCAAGGGACTGAGGGAATGGGTCAAGGGACTGAGGGAATGGGTCAAGGGAGTGAGGGAATGGGTCAAAGGACTGAGGGAATGGGTCAAGGGACTGAGGGAATGGGTCAAGGGAGTGAGGGGATGGGTCAAGGGACTGAGGGAATGGGTCAAGGGACTCAGGGAATGGGTCAAGGGACTGAGGGAATGGGTCAAGGGACTGAGGGAATGGGTCAAGGGACTGAGGGAATGGGTCAAGGGACTCAGGGAATGGGTCAAGGGACTGAGGGAATGGGTCAAGGGACTGAGGGAATGGGTGAAGGGACTGAGGGAATGGGTCAAGGGACTCAGGGAATGGGTCAAGGGACTGAGGGAATGGGTCAAGGGACTGAGGGAATGGGTCAAGGGACTGAGGGAATGGGTCAAGGGACTGAGGGAATGGGTCAAGGGAGTGAGGGAATGGGTCAAGGGACTGAGGGAATGGGTCAAGGGACTGAGGGAATGGGTCAAAGGACTGAGGGAATGGGTCAAGGGACTCAGGGAATGGGTCAAGGGAGTGAGGGAATGGGTCAAGGGACTGAGGGAATGGGTCAAGGGACTGAGAGAATGGGTCAGGGGACTGAGGGAATGGGTCAAGGGACTGAGAGAATGGGTCAGGGGACTGAGGGAATGGGTCAAGGGACTGAGGGAATGGGTCAAGGGACTGAGGGAATGGGTCAAGGGACTGAGGGAATGGGTCAAGGGACTCAGGGAAAGGGTCAAGGGACTGAGGGAATGGGTGAAGGGACTGAGGGAATGGGTCAAGGGACTGAGGGAATGGGTCAAGGGACTGAGGGAATGGGTCAAGGGACTGAGGGAATAGGTGAAGGGACTGAGGGAATGGGTCAAGGGACTGAGGGAATAGGTGAAGGGACTGAGGGAATGGGTCAAGGGACTGAGGGAATGGGTCAAGGGACTGAGGCAATGGGTCAAGGGACTGAGGGAATGGGTCAAGGGACTGAGGGAATGGGTCAAGGGACTCAGGGAATGGGTCAAGGGACTGAGGGAATGGGTCAAGGGACTGAGGGAATGGGTCAAGGGACTCAGGGAAAGGGTCAAGGGACTGAGGGAATGGGTCAAGGGACTGAGGGAATAGGTGAAGGGACTGAGGGAATGGGTCAAGGGACTGAGGGAATAGGTGAAGGGACTGAGGGAATGGGTCAAGGGACTGAGGGAATGGGTCAAGGGACTGAGGGAATGGGTCAAGGGAGTGAGGGGATGGGTCAAGGGACTGAGGGAGTGGGTCAAGGGACTCAAGGAATGGGTCAAGGGACTGAGGGAATGGGTCAAGGGACTGAGGGAATGGGTCAAGGGACTGAGGGAATGGGTCAAGGGACTGAGGGAATGGGTCATGGGACTGAGGCAATGGGTCAAGGGACTGAGGGAATGGGTCAAGGGACTGAGGGAATGGGTGAAGGGACTGAGGGAATGGGTCAAGGGACTGAGGGAATGGGTCAAGGGACTCAGGGAATGGGTCAAGGGACTGAGGGAATGGGTGAAGGGACTGAGGGAATGGGTCAAGGGACTGAGGGAATGGGTGAAGGGACTGAGGGAATGGGTCAAAGGACTGAGGGAATGGGTCAAGGGACTGAGGGAATGGGTCAAGGGACTCAGGGAAAGGGTCAAGGGACTGAGGGAATGGGTCAAGGGACTCAGGGAAAGGGTCAAGGGACTGAGGGAATGGGTCAAGGGACTGAGGGAATGGGTCAAGGGACTGAGGGAATGGGTCAAGGGACTGAGGGAATGGGTCAAGGGAGTGAGGGGATGGGTCAAGGGACTGAGGGAGTGGGTCAAGGGACTCAGGGAATGGGTCAAGGGACTGAGGGAATGGGTCAAGGGACTGAGGGAATGGGTCAAGGGACTGAGGGAATGGGTCAAGGGAGTGAGGGAATGGGTCAAAGGACTGAGGGAATGGGTCAAGGGACTGAGGGAATGGGTCAAGGGAGTGAGGGGATGGGTCAAGGGACTGAGGGAATGGGTCAAGGGACTCAGGGAATGGGTCAAGGGACTCAGGGAATGGGTCAAGGGACTGAGGGAATGGGTCAAGGGACTCAGGGAATGGGTCAAGGGACTGAGGGAATGGGTGAAGGGACTGAGGGAATGGGTGAAGGGACTGAGGGAATGGGTCAAGGGACTCAGGGAATGGGTCAAGGGACTGAGGGAATGGGTCAAGGGACTGAGGGAATGGGTCAAGGGACTGAGGGAATGGGTCAAGGGACTGAGGGAATGGGTCAAGGGAGTGAGGGAATGGGTCAAGGGACTGAGGGAATGGGTCAAGGGACTGAGGGAATGGGTCAAAGGACTGAGGGAATGGGTCAAGGGACTCAGGGAATGGGTCAAGGGAGTGAGGGAATGGGTCAAGGGACTGAGGGAATGGGTCAAGGGACTCAGGGAATGGGTCAAGGGACTGAGGGAATGTCTCAGGGGACTGAGGGAATGGGTCAAGGGACTGAGAGAATGGGTCAGGGGACTGAGGGAATGGGTCAAGGGACTGAGGGAATGGGTCAAGGGACTGAGGGAATGGGTCAAGGGACTCAGGGAAAGGGTCAAGGGACTGAGGGAATGGGTGAAGGGACTGAGGGAATGGGTCAAGGGACTGAGGGAATGGGTCAAGGGACTGAGGGAATGGGTCAAGGGACTGAGGGAATAGGTGAAGGGACTGAGGGAATGGGTCAAGGGACTGAGGGAATAGGTGAAGGGACTGAGGGAATGGGTCAAGGGACTGAGGGAATGGGTCAAGGGACTGAGGCAATGGGTCAAGGGACTGAGGGAATGGGTCAAGGGACTGAGGGAATGGGTCAAGGGACTCAGGGAATGGGTCAAGGGACTGAGGGAATGGGTCAAGGGACTGAGGGAATGGGTCAAGGGACTCAGGGAAAGGGTCAAGGGACTGAGGGAATGGGTCAAGGGACTGAGGGAATAGGTGAAGGGACTGAGGGAATGGGTCAAGGGACTGAGGGAATGGGTCAAGGGACTGAGGCAATGGGTCAAGGGACTGAGGGAATGGGTCAAGGGACTCAGGGAATGGGTCAAGGGACTGAGGGAATGGGTCAAGGGACTGAGGGAATGGGTCAAGGGACTGAGGCAATGGGTCAAGGGACTGAGGGAATGGGTCTAGGGACTGAGGGAATGGGTCAAGGGAGTGAGGGGATGGGTCAAGGGACTGAGGGAATGGGTCAAGGGACTCAGGGAATGGGTCAAGGGACTGAGGGAATGAGTCAAGGGACTGAGGGAATGTCTCAGGGGACTGAGGGAATGGGTCAGGGGACTGAGGGAATGGGTCAAGGGACTGAGGGAATGGGTCAAGGGACTGAGGCAATGGGTCAAGGGACTGAGGGAATGGGTCTAGGGACTGAGGGAATGGGTCAAGGGAGTGAGGGGATGGGTCAAGGGACTGAGGGAATGGGTCAAGGGACTCAGGGAATGGGTCAAGGGACTGAGGGAATGAGTCAAGGGACTGAGGGAATGTCTCAGGGGACTGAGGGAATGGGTCAGGGGACTGAGGGAATGGGTCAAGGGACTGAAGGAATGGGTGAAGGGACTGAGGGAATGGGTGAAGGGACTGAGGGAAAGGGTCAAGGGACTGAGGGAATGGGTCAAGGGACTGAGGGAATGGGTCAAGGGACTGAGGGAATGGGTCTAGGGACTGAGGGAATGGGTCAAGGGAGTGAGGGAATGGGTCAAGGGACTCAGGGAATGGGTCAAGGGACTGAGGGAATGAGTCAAGGGACTGAGGGAATGTCTCAGGGGACTGAGGGAATGGGTCAGGGGACTGAGGCAATGGGTCAAGGGACTGAGGGAAAGGGTCAAGGGACTGAGGGAATGGGTCAAGGGACTGAGGCAATGGGTCAAGGGACTGAGGGAATGGGTCTAGGGACTGAGGGAATGGGTCAAGGGAGTGAGGGAATGGGTCAAGGGACTCAGGGAATGGGTCAAGGGACTGAGGGAATGAGTCAAGGGACTGAGGGAATGTCTCAGGGGACTGAGGGAATGGGTCAGGGGACTGAGGGAATGGGTCAAGGGACTGAGGGAATGGGTCAAGGGACTGAGGCAATGGGTCAAGGGACTGAGGGAATGGGTCAAGGGACTCAGGGAATGGGTCAAGGGACTGAGGGAATGGGTCAAAGGACTGAGGGAATGGGTGAAGGGACTGAGGGAATGGGTCAAGGGACTGAGGGAATGGGTCAAAGGACTGAGGGAATGGGTGAAGGGACTGAGGGAATGGGTCAAGGGACTGAGGGAATGGGTCAAGGGACTGAGGGAATGGGTCAAGGGACTCAGGGAATGGGTCAAGGGACTCAGGGAAAGGGTCAAGGGACTGAGGGAATGGGTCAAGGGACTGAGGGAATGGGTAAAGGGACTCAGGGAATGGGTCAAGGGACTGAGGGAATGGGTCAAGGGAGTGAGGGAATGGGTCAAGGGACTGAGGGAATGGGTCAAGGGACTGAGGGAATGGGTCAAGGGAGTGAGGGAATGGGTCAAGGGACTGAGGGAATGGGTCAAGGGACTGAGGGAATGGGTCAAGGGAGTGAGGGAATGGGTCAAGGGACTGAGGGAATGGGTCAAGGGACTCAGGGAATGGGTCAAGGGACTGAGGGAATGGGTCAAGGGAGTGAGGGAATGGGTCAAGGGACTGAGGGAATGGGTCAAGGGACTGAGGGAATGGGTCAAGGGAGTGAGGGAATGGGTCAAGGGACTGAGGGAATGGGTCAAGGGACTCAGGGAATGGGTCAAGGGACTGAGGCAATGGGTCAAGGGACTGAGGGAATGGGTCAAGGGACTGAGGGAATGGGTCAAGGGACTGAGGGAATGGGTCAAGGGACTCAGGGAATGGGTCAAGGGACTCAGGGAAAGGGTCAAGGGACTGAGGGAATGGGTCAAGGGACTGAGGGAATGGGTCAAGGGACTGAGGGAATGGGTCAAGGGACTGAGGGAATGGGTCAAGGGACTGAGGGAATGGGTCAAGGGACTGAGGGAATGGGTCAAGGGACTGAGGCAATGGGTCAAGGGACTGAGGGAATGGGTCAAGGGAGTGAGGGGATGGGTCAAGGGACTGAGGGAATGGGTCAAGGGACTGAGGGAATGGGTCAAGGGACTCAGGGAATGGGTCAAGGGACTGAGGGAATGGGTCAAGGGACTCAGGGAATGGGTCAAGGGACTGAGGGAATGGGTCAAGGGACTGAGGGAATGGGTCAAGGGAGTGAGGGGATGGGTCAAGGGACTGAGGGAATGGGTCAAGGGACTGAGGGAATGGGTCAAGGGACTCAGGGAATGGGTCAAGGGAGTGAGGGAATGGGTCAAGGGACTCAGGGAATGGGTCAAGGGACTGAGGGAATGGGTCAAGGGACTGAGGGAATGGGTCAAGGGAGTGAGGGAATGGGTCAAGGGACTGAGGGAATGGGTCAAGGGACTGAGGCAATGGGTCAAGGGACTGAGGGAATGGGTGAAGGGACTGAGGGAATGGGTCAAGGGACTGAGGGAATGGGTCAAGGGACTGAGGGAATGGGTGAAGGGACTGAGGGAATGGGTCAAGGGACTGAGGGAATGGGTCAAGGGACTGAGGGAATGGGTCAAGGGACTCAGGGAATGGGTCAAGGGACTCAGGGAAAGGGTCAAGGGACTGAGGGAATGGGTCAAGGGACTGAGGGAATGGGTCAAGGGACTGAGGGAATGGGTAAAGGGAGTGAGGGAATGGGTCAAGGGACTGAGGGAATGGGTCAAGGGACTGAGGGAATGGGTCAAGGGAGTGAGGGAATGGGTCAAGGGACTGAGGGAATGGGTCAAGGGACTCAGGGAATGGGTCAAGGGACTCAGGGAAAGGGTCAAGGGACTGAGGGAATGGGTCAAGGGACTGAGGGAATGGGTCAAGGGACTCAGGGAATGGGTCAAAGGACTGAGGGAATGGGTCAAGGGACTGAGGGAATGGGTGAAGGGACTGAGGGAATGGGTCAAGGGACTGAGGGAATGGGTCAAGGGACTGAGGGAATGGGTCAAGGGACTCAGGGAATGGGTCAAGGGACTGAGGGAATGGGTCAAGGGAGTGAGGGAATGGGTCAAGGGACTGAGGGAATGGGTCAAGGGACTCAGGGAATGGGTCAAGGGACTCAGGGAAAGGGTCAAGGGACTGAGGGAATGGGTCAAGGGACTGAGGGAATGGGTCAAGGGACTGAGGGAATGGGTCAAGGGACTCAGGGAATGGGTCAAAGGACTGAGGGAATGGGTCAAGGGACTGAGGGAATGGGTCAAGGGACTGAGGGAATGGGTCAAGGGACTGAGGCAATGGGTCAAGGGACTGAGGGAATGGGTCAAGGGACTCAGGGAATGGGTCAAGGGACTCAGGGAAAGGGTCAAGGGACTGAGGGAATGGGTCAAGGGACTCAGGGAATGGGTCAAGGGACTGAGGGAATGGGTCAAGGGACTGAGGCAATGGGTCAAGGGACTGAGGGAATGGGTCAAGGGACTCAGGGAATGGGTCAAGGGACTCAGGGAATGGGTCAAGGGACTCAGGGAAAGGGTCAAGGGACTGAGGGAATGGGTCAAGGGACTGAGGGAATGGGTCAAGGGACTCAGGGAATGGGTCAAAGGACTGAGGGAATGGGTCAAGGGACTGAGGGAATGGGTCAAGGGACTGAGGGAATGGGTCAAGGGACTGAGGCAATGGGTCAAGGGACTGAGGGAATGGGTCAAGGGACTGAGGGAATGGGTCAAGGGACTGAGGGAATGGGTCAAGGGACTGAGGGAATGGGTCAAGGGACTGAGGGAATGGGTCAAGGGAGTGAGGGGATGGGTCAAGGGACTGAGGGAGTGGGTCAAGGGACTGAGGGAATGGGTCAAGGGAGTGAGGGAATGGGTCAAGGGAGTGAGGGAATGGGTCAAGGGACTGAGGGAATGGGTCAAGGGACTCAGGGAATGGGTCAAGGGACTGAGGGAATGGGTCAAGGGACTGAGGCAATGGGTCAAGGGACTGAGGGAATGGGTCAAGGGACTGAGGGAATGGGTCAAGGGAGTGAGGGGATGGGTCAAGGGACTGAGGGAGTGGGTCAAGGGACTGAGGGAATGGGTCAAGGGAGTGAGGGAATGGGTCAAGGGAGTGAGGGAATGGGTCAAGGGACTGAGGGAATGGGTCAAGGGACTCAGGGAATGGGTCAAGGGACTGAGGGAATGGGTCAAGGGACTGAGGGAATGTCTCAGGGGACTGAGGGAATGGGTCAAGGGACTGAGGGAATGGGTCAAGGGACTGAGGGAATGGGTCAAGGGACTGAGGCAATGGGTCAAGGGACTGAGGGAATGGGTCAAGGGACTGAGGGAATGGGTCAAGGGAGTGAGGGGATGGGTCAAGGGACTGAGGGAATGGGTCAAGGGACTCAGGGAATGGGTCAAGGGACTGAGGGAATGGGTCAAGGGACTGAGGGAATGGGTCAAGGGACTCAGGGAATGGGTCAAGGGACTGAGGGAATGGGTCAAGGGACTGAGGGAATGTCTCAGGGGACTGAGGGAATGGGTCAGGGGACTGAGGGAATGGGTCAAGGGACTGAGGGAATGGGTCAAGGGACTGAGGGAATGGGTCAAAGGACTGAGGGAATGGGTGAAGGGACTGAGGGAATGGGTCAAGGGACTGAGGGAATGGGTCAAGGGACTGAGGGAATGTCTCAGGGGACTGAGGGAATGGGTCAGGGGACTGAGGGAATGGGTCAAGGGACTCAGGGAATGGGTCAAGGGACTCAGGGAATGGGTCAAGGGACTGAGGGAATGGGTCAAGGGACTGAGGGAATGTCTCAGGGGACTGAGGGAATGGGTCAGGGGACTGAGGGAATGGGTCAAGGGACTGAGGGAATGGGTCAAGGGACTGAGGGAATGGGTCAAGGGACTGAGGGAATGGGTCAAGGGAGTGAGGGAATGGGTCAAGGGACTGAGGGAATGGGTCAAGGGACTCAGGGACTGAGGCAATGGGTCAAGGGACTGAGGGAATGGGTCAAGGGACTGAGGGAATGGGTCAAGGGACTGAGGGAATGGGTCAAGGGAGTGAGGGAATGGGTCAAGGGACTGAGGGAATGGGTCAAGGGACTCAGGGAATGGGTCAAGGGACTGAGGCAATGGGACAAGGGACTGAGGCAATGGGTCAAGGGACTGAGGGAATGGGTCAAAGGACTGAGGGAATGGGTCAAGGGACTGAGGGAATGGGTCAAGGGACTCAGGGAAAGGGTCAAGGGACTGAGGGAATGGGTCAAGGGAGTGAGGGAATGGGTCAAGGGACTCAGGGAATGGGTCAAGGGACTGAGGGAATGGGTCAAGGGAGTGAGGGAATGGGTCAAGGGACTGAGGGAATGGGTCAAGGGAGTGAGGGAATGGGTCAAGGGACTGAGGGAATGGGTCAAGGGACTCAGGGAATGGGTCAAGGGACTGAGGGAATGGGTCAAGGGACTGAGGGAACGGGTCAAGGGACTGAGGGAATGGGTCAAGGGACTCAGGGAATGGGTCAAGGGACTCAGGGAAAGGGTCAAGGGACTGAGGGAATGGGTCAAGGGACTGAGGGAATGGGTCAAAGGACTGAGGGAATGGGTCAAGGGACTGAGGGAATGGGTCAAAGGACTCAGGGAATGGGTCAAGGGACTCAGGGAAAGGGTCAAGGGACTGAGGGAATGGGTCAAGGGACTGAGGGAATGGGTCAAGGGACTGAGGGAATGGGTCAAGGGACTGAGGCAATGGGTCAAGGGACTGAGGGAATGGGTCAAGGGACTGAGGGAATGGGTCAAGGGACTCAGGGAATGGGTCAAGGGACTCAGGGAATGGGTCAAGGGACTCAGGGAAAGGGTCAAGGGACTGAGGGAATGGGTCAAGGGACTGAGGGAATGGGTCAAGGGACTCAGGGAATGGGTCAAAGGACTGAGGGAATGGGTCAAGGGACTGAGGGAATGGGTGAAGGGACTGAGGGAATGGGTCAAGGGACTGAGGGAATGGGTCAAGGGACTGAGGGAATGGGTCAAGGGACTCAGGGAATGGGTCAAGGGACTGAGGGAATGGGTCAAGGGAGTGAGGGAATGGGTCAAGGGACTGAGGGAATGGGTCAAGGGACTCAGGGAATGGGTCAAGGGACTCAGGGAAAGGGTCAAGGGACTGAGGGAATGGGTCAAGGGACTGAGGGAATGGGTCAAGGGACTGAGGGAATGGGTCAAGGGACTCAGGGAATGGGTCAAAGGACTGAGGGAATGGGTCAAGGGACTGAGGGAATGGGTCAAGGGACTGAGGGAATGGGTCAAGGGACTGAGGCAATGGGTCAAGGGACTGAGGGAATGGGTCAAGGGACTCAGGGAATGGGTCAAGGGACTCAGGGAAAGGGTCAAGGGACTGAGGGAATGGGTCAAGGGACTCAGGGAATGGGTCAAGGGACTGAGGGAATGGGTCAAGGGACTCAGGGAATGGGTCAAGGGACTGAGGGAATGGGTCAAGGGACTGAGGGAATGGGTCAAGGGACTCAGGGAATGGGTCAAGGGACTCAGGGAATGGGTCAAGGGACTCAGGGAAAGGGTCAAGGGACTGAGGGAATGGGTCAAGGGACTCAGGGAATGGGTCAAAGGACTGAGGGAATGGGTCAAGGGACTGAGGGAATGGGTCAAGGGACTGAGGCAATGGGTCAAGGGACTGAGGGAATGGGTCAAGGGACTCAGGGAATGGGTCAAGGGACTGAGGGAATGGGTCAAGGGACTGAGGCAATGGGTCAAGGGACTGAGGGAATGGGTCAAGGGACTGAGGGAATGGGTCGAGGGAGTGAGGGGATGGGTCAAGGGACTGAGGGAGTGGGTCAAGGGACTGAGGGAATGGGTCAAGGGAGTGAGGGAATGGGTCAAGGGAGTGAGGGAATGGGTCAAGGGACTGAGGGAATGGGTCAAGGGACTGAGGGAATGGGTCAAGGGACTGAGGCAATGGGTCAAGGGACTGAGGGAATGGGTCAAGGGACTCAGGGAATGGGTCAAGGGACTCAGGGAAAGGGTCAAGGGACTGAGGGAATGGGTCAAGGGACTCAGGGAATGGGTCAAGGGACTGAGGGAATGGGTCAAGGGACTGAGGCAATGGGTCAAGGGACTGAGGGAATGGGTCAAGGGACTCAGGGAATGGGTCAAGGGACTCAGGGAAAGGGTCAAGGGACTGAGGGAATGGGTCAAGGGACTGAGGGAATGGGTCAAGGGACTCAGGGAATGGGTCAAGGGACTCAGGGAATGGGTCAAGGGACTCAGGGAAAGGGTCAAGGGACTGAGGGAATGGGTCAAGGGACTCAGGGAATGGGTCAAAGGACTGAGGGAATGGGTCAAGGGACTGAGGGAATGGGTCAAGGGACTGAGGGAATGGGTCAAGGGACTGAGGGAATGGGTCAAGGGACTCAGGGAATGGGTCAAGGGACTCAGGGAAAGGGTCAAGGGACTGAGGGAATGGGTCAAGGGACTCAGGGAATGGGTCAAAGGACTGAGGGAATGGGTCAAGGGACTGAGGCAATGGGTCAAGGGACTGAGGGAATGGGTCAAGGGACTCAGGGAATGGGTCAAGGGACTCAGGGAAAGGGTCAAGGGACTGAGGGAATGGGTCAAGGGACTGAGGGAATGGGTCAAGGGACTCAGGGAATGGGTCAAGGGACTCAGGGAATGGGTCAAGGGACTGAGGGAATGGGTCAAGGGACTCAGGGAATGGGTCAAAGGACTGAGGGAATGGGTCAAGGGACTGAGGCAATGGGTCAAGGGACTGAGGGAATGGGTCAAGGGACTCAGGGAATGGGTCAAGGGACTGAGGGAATGGGTCAAGGGACTGAGGCAATGGGTCAAGGGACTGAGGGAATGGGTCAAGGGACTGAGGGAATGGGTCGAGGGAGTGAGGGGATGGGTCAAGGGACTGAGGGAGTGGGTCAAGGGACTGAGGGAATGGGTCAAGGGAGTGAGGGAATGGGTCAAGGGAGTGAGGGAATGGGTCAAGGGACTGAGGGAATGGGTCAAGGGACTGAGGGAATGGGTCAGGGGACTGAGGGAATGGGTCAAGGGACTGAGGGAATGGGTCAAGGGACTGAGGGAATGTCTCAGGGGACTGAGGGAATGGGTCAAGGGACTGAGGGAATGGGTCAAGGGACTGAGGGAATGGGTCAAGGGACTGAGGCAATGGGTCAAGGGACTGAGGGAATGGGTCAAGGGACTGAGGGAATGGGTCAAGGGAGTGAGGGGATGGGTCAAGGGACTGAGGGAATGGGTCAAGGGACTCAGGGAATGGGTCAAGGGACTGAGGGAATGGGTCAAGGGACTGAGGGAATGGGTCAAGGGACTCAGGGAATGGGTCAAGGGACTGAGGGAATGGGTCAAGGGACTGAGGGAATGTCTCAGGGGACTGAGGGAATGGGTCAGGGGACTGAGGGAATGGGTCAAGGGACTGAGGGAATGGGTCAAGGGACTGAGGGAATGGGTCAAAGGACTGAGGGAATGGGTGAAGGGACTGAGGGAATGGGTCAAGGGACTGAGGGAATGGGTCAAGGGACTGAGGGAATGTCTCAGGGGACTGAGGGAATGGGTCAGGGGACTGAGGGAATGGGTCAAGGGACTGAGGGAATGGGTCAAGGGACTCAGGGAATGGGTCAAGGGACTGAGGGAATGGGTCAAGGGAGTGAGGGAATGGGTCAAGGGACTGAGGGAATGGGTCAAGGGACTCAGGGACTGAGGCAATGGGTCAAGGGACTGAGGGAATGGGTCAAGGGACTGAGGGAATGGGTCAAGGGACTGAGGGAATGGGTCAAGGGACTGAGGGAATGGGTCAAGGGAGTGAGGGAATGGGTCAAGGGACTGAGGGAATGGGTCAAGGGACTCAGGGAATGGGTCAAGGGACTGAGGCAATGGGACAAGGGACTGAGGCAATGGGTCAAGGGACTGAGGGAATGGGTCAAAGGACTGAGGGAATGGGTCAAGGGACTGAGGGAATGGGTCAAGGGACTCAGGGAAAGGGTCAAGGGACTGAGGGAATGGGTCAAGGGAGTGAGGGAATGGGTCAAGGGACTCAGGGAATGGGTCAAGGGACTGAGGGAATGGGTCAAGGGAGTGAGGGAATGGGTCAAGGGACTGAGGGAATGGGTCAAGGGAGTGAGGGAATGGGTCAAGGGACTGAGGGAATGGGTCAAGGGACTCAGGGAATGGGTCAAGGGACTGAGGGAATGGGTCAAGGGACTGAGGGAACGGGTCAAGGGACTGAGGGAATGGGTCAAGGGACTCAGGGAATGGGTCAAGGGACTCAGGGAAAGGGTCAAGGGACTGAGGGAATGGGTCAAGGGACTGAGGGAATGGGTCAAAGGACTGAGGGAATGGGTCAAGGGACTGAGGGAATGGGTCAAAGGACTCAGGGAATGGGTCAAGGGACTCAGGGAAAGGGTCAAGGGACTGAGGGAATGGGTCAAGGGACTGAGGGAATGGGTCAAGGGACTGAGGGAATGGGTCAAGGGACTGAGGCAATGGGTCAAGGGACTGAGGGAATGGGTCAAGGGACTGAGGGAATGGGTCAAGGGACTCAGGGAATGGGTCAAGGGACTCAGGGAAAGGTTCAAGGGACTGAGGGAATGGGTCAAGGGAGTGAGGGGATGGGTCAAGGGACTGAGGGAATGGGTCAAGGGACTGAGGGAATGGGTCCAGGGACTGAGGGAATGGGTCAAGGGACTCAGGGAATGGGTCAAGGGACTCAGGGAAAGGTTCAAGGGACTGAGGGAATGGGTCAAGGGACTGAGGGAATGGGTCAAGGGACTCAGGGAATGGGTCAAAGGACTGAGCGAATGGGTCAAGGGACTGAGGGAATGGGTGAAGGGACTGAGGGAATGGGTCAAGGGACTGAGGGAATGGGTCAAGGGACTCAGGGAATGGGTCAAGGGACTCAGGGAAAGGGTCAAGGGACTGAGGGAATGGGTCAAGGGACTGAGGGAATGGGTCAAGGGACTGAGGGAATGGGTCAAGGGACTGAGGCAATGGGTCAAGGGACTGAGGGAATGGGTCAAGGGACTGAGGGAATGGGTCAAGGGACTCAGGGAATGTCTCAGGGGACTGAGGGAATGGGTCAGGGGACTGAGGGAATGGGTCAAGGGACTGAGGGAATGGGTCAAGGGACTGAGGGAATGGGTCAAGGGACTCAGGGAATGGGTCAAGGGACTGAGGGAATGGGTCAAGGGACTGAGGCAAAGGGTCAAGGGACTGAGAGAATGGGTCAAGGGACTCAGGGAATGGGTCAAGGGACTGAGGGAATGGGTCAAGGGACTGAGGGAATGGGTGAAGGGACTGAGGGAATGGGTCAAGGGACTGAGGGAATGGGTCAAGGGACTGAGGGAATGGGTCAAGGGACTCAGGGAATGGGTCAAGGGACTGAGGGAATGGGTCAAGAGACTGAGGGAATGGGTCAGGGACTCAGGGAATGGGTCAAGGGACTGAGGGAATGGGTCAAGGGACTGAGGGAATGGGTCAAGGGACTGAGGGAATGGGTCAAGGGACTGAGGGAATGGGTCAAGGGACTGAGGGAATGGGTCAAGGGACTGAGGCAATGGGTCAAGGGACTGAGGGAATGGGTCAAGGGACTGAGGGAATGGGTCAAGGGACTCAGGGAATGGGTCAAGGGACTCAGGGAAAGGTTCAAGGGACTGAGGGAATGGGTCAAGGGAGTGAGGGGATGGGTCAAGGGACTGAGGGAATGGGTCAAGGGACTGAGGGAATGGGTCCAGGGACTGAGGGAATGGGTCAAGGGACTGAGGCAATGGGTCAAGGGACTGAGGGAATGGGTCAAGGGACTGAGGGAATGGGTCAAGGGACTCAGGGAATGGGTCAAGGGACTCAGGGAAAGGTTCAAGGGACTGAGGGAATGGGTCAAGGGAGTGAGGGGATGGGTCAAGGGACTGAGGGAATGGGTCAAGGGACTGAGGGAATGGGTCAAGGGACTCAGGGAATGGGTCAAGGGACTCAGGGAAAGGTTCAAGGGACTGAGGGAATGGGTCAAGGGACTGAGGGAATGGGTCAAGGGACTCAGGGAATGGGTCAAAGGACTGAGGGAATGGGTCAAGGGACTGAGGGAATGGGTCAAGAGACTGAGGGAATGGGTCAGGGACTCAGGGAATGGGTCAAGGGACTGAGGGAATGGGTCAAGGGACTGAGGGAATGGGTCAAGGGACTGAGGGAATGGGTGAAGGGACTGAGGGAATGGGTCAAGGGACTGAGGGAATGGGTCAAGGGACTGAGGGAATGGGTCAAGGGACTCAGGGAATGGGTCAAGGGACTCAGGGAAAGGGTCAAGGGACTGAGGGAATGGGTCAAGGGACTGAGGGAATGGGTCAAGGGACTGAGGGAATGGGTCAAGGGACTGAGGCAATGGGTCAAGGGACTGAGGGAATGGGTCAAGGGACTGAGGGAATGGGTCAAGGGACTCAGGGAATGTCTCAGGGGACTGAGGGAATGGGTCAGGGGACTGAGGGAATGGGTCAAGGGACTGAGGGAATGGGTCAAGGGACTGAGGCAAAGGGTCAAGGGACTGAGAGAATGGGTCAAGGGACTCAGGGAATGGGTCAAGGGACTGAGGGAATGGGTCAAGGGACTGAGGGAATGGGTGAAGGGACTGAGGGAATGGGTCAAGGGACTGAGGGAATGGGTCAAGGGACTGAGGGAATGGGTCAAGGGACTGAGGGAATGGGTCAAGGGACTGAGGGAATGGGTCAAGGGACTGAGGGAATGGGTCAAGGGACTGAGGCAATGGGTCAAGGGACTGAGGGAATGGGTCAAGGGACTGAGGGAATGGGTCAAGGGACTCAGGGAATGGGTCAAGGGACTCAGGGAAAGGTTCAAGGGACTGAGGGAATGGGTCAAGGGAGTGAGGGGATGGGTCAAGGGACTGAGGGAATGGGTCAAGGGACTGAGGGAATGGGTCCAGGGACTGAGGGAATGGGTCAAGGGACTCAGGGAATGGGTCAAGGGACTCAGGGAAAGGTTCAAGGGACTGAGGGAATGGGTCAAGGGACTGAGGGAATGGGTCAAGGGACTCAGGGAATGGGTCAAAGGACTGAGGGAATGGGTCAAGGGACTGAGGGAATGGGTGAAGGGACTGAGGGAATGGGTCAAGGGACTGAGGGAATGGGTCAAGGGACTGAGGGAATGGGTCAAGGGACTCAGGGAATGGGTCAAGGGACTCAGGGAAAGGGTCAAGGGACTGAGGGAATGGGTCAAGGGACTGAGGGAATGGGTCAAGGGACTCAGGGAATGTCTCAGGGGACTGAGGGAATGGGTCAGGGGACTGAGGGAATGGGTCAAGGGACTCAGGGAATGGGTCAAGGGACTGAGGGAATGGGTCAAGGGACTGAGGGAATGGGTCAAGGGACTCAGGGAATGGGTCAAGGGACTGAGGGAATGGGTCAAGGGACTGAGGCAAAGGGTCAAGGGACTGAGAGAATGGGTCAAGGGACTCAGGGAATGGGTCAAGGGACTGAGGGAATGGGTCAAGGGACTGAGGGAATGGGTGAAGGGACTGAGGGAATGGGTCAAGGGACTGAGGGAATGGGTCAAGGGACTGAGGGAATGGGTCAAGGGACTCAGGGAATGGGTCAAGGGACTGAGGGAATGGGTCAAGAGACTGAGGGAATGGGTCAGGGACTCAGGGAATGGGTCAAGGGACTGAGGGAATGGGTCAAGGGACTGAGGGAATGGGTCAAGGGACTGAGGGAATGGGTCAAGGGACTGAGGGAATGGGTCAAGGGACTGAGGGAATGGGTCAGGGGACTGAGGGAATGGGTCAAGGGACTGAGGGAATGGGTCAAGGGACTGAGGGAATGGGTCAAGGGACTGAGGGAATGGGTCAAGGGACTGAGGGAATGGGTCAAGGGACTCAGGGAATGGGTCAAGGGACTCATGGAAAGGGTCAAGGGACTGAGGGAATGGGTCAAGGGACTGAGGGAATGGGTCAAGGGACTCAGGGAATGGGTCAGGGGACTGAGGGAATGGGTCAAGGGACTGAGGCAATGGGTCAAGGGACTGAGGGAATGGGTCAAGGGACTCAGGGAATGGGTCAAGGGACTGAGGCAATGGGTCAAGGGACTGAGGGAATGGGTCAAGGGACTCAGGGAATGGGTCAAGGGACTGAGGGAATGGGTCAAGGGACTGAGGGAATGGGTCAAGGGACTCAGGGAATGGGTCAAGGGACTGAGGGAATGGGTCAAGGGACTGAGGGAATGTCTCAGGGGACTGAGGGAATGGGTCAAGGGACTGAGGGAATGGGTCAAGGGACTGAGGGAATGGGTCAAGGGACTGAGGCAATGGGTCAAGGGACTGAGGGAATGGGTCAAGGGACTGAGGGAATGGGTCAAGGGAGTGAGGGGATGGGTCAAGGGACTGAGGGAATGGGTCAAGGGACTCAGGGAATGGGTCAAAGGACTGAGGGAATGGGTCAAGGGACTGAGGGAATGGGTCAAGGGACTCAGGGAATGGGTCAAGGGACTGAGGGAATGGGTCAAGGGACTGAGGGAATGTCTCAGGGGACTGAGGGAATGGGTCAGGGGACTGAGGGAATGGGTCAAGGGACTGAGGGAATGGGTCAAGGGACTCAGGGAATGGGTCAAGGGACTGAGGGAATGGGTCAAGGGAGTGAGGGAATGGGTCAAGGGACTGAGGGAATGGGTCAAGGGACTCAGGGAATGGGTCAAGGGACTGAGGCAATGGGTCAAGGGACTGAGGGAATGGGTCAAGGGACTGAGGGAATGGGTCAAGGGACTGAGGGAATGGGTCAAGGGACTGAGGGAATGGGTCAAGGGAGTGAGGGAATGGGTCAAGGGACTGAGGGAATGGGTCAAGGGACTCAGGGAATGGGTCAAGGGACTGAGGCAATGGGACAAGGGACTGAGGCAATGGGTCAAGGGACTGAGGGAATGGGTCAAAGGACTGAGGGAATGGGTCAAGGGACTGAGGGAATGGGTCAAGGGACTCAGGGAAAGGGTCAAGGGACTGAGGGAATGGGTCAAGGGAGTGAGGGAATGGGTCAAGGGACTCAGGGAATGGGTCAAGGGACTGAGGGAATGGGTCAAGGGAGTGAGGGAATGGGTCAAGGGACTGAGGGAATGGGTCAAGGGAGTGAGGGAATGGGTCAAGGGACTGAGGGAATGGGTCAAGGGACTCAGGGAATGGGTCAAGGGACTGAGGGAATGGGTCAAGGGACTGAGGGAATGGGTCAAGGGACTGAGGGAATGGGTCAAGGGACTGAGGGAATGGGTCAAGGGACTCAGGGAATGGGTCAAGGGACTCAGGGAAAGGGTCAAGGGACTGAGGGAATGGGTCAAGGGACTGAGGGAATGGGTCAAAGGACTGAGGGAATGGGTCAAGGGACTGAGGGAATGGGTCAAAGGACTCAGGGAATGGGTCAAGGGACTCAGGGAAAGGGTCAAGGGACTGAGGGAATGGGTCAAGGGACTGAGGGAATGGGTCAAGGGACTGAGGCAATGGGTCAAGGGACTGAGGGAATGGGTCAAGGGACTGAGGGAATGGGTCAAGGGACTCAGGGAATGGGTCAAGGGACTCAGGGAAAGGTTCAAGGGACTGAGGGAATGGGTCAAGGGAGTGAGGGGATGGGTCAAGGGACTGAGGGAATGGGTCAAGGGACTGAGGGAATGGGTCAAGGGACTGAGGGAATGGGTCAAGGGACTCAGGGAATGGGTCAAGGGACTCAGGGAAAGGTTCAAGGGACTGAGGGAATGGGTCAAGGGACTGAGGGAATGGGTCAAGGGACTCAGGGAATGGGTCAAAGGACTGAGGGAATGGGTCAAGGGACTGAGGGAATGGGTGAAGGGACTGAGGGAATGGGTCAAGGGACTGAGGGAATGGGTCAAGGGACTGAGGGAATGGGTCAAGGGACTCAGGGAATGGGTCAAGGGACTCAGGGAAAGGGTCAAGGGACTGAGGGAATGGGTCAAGGGACTGAGGGAATGGGTCAAGGGACTGAGGGAATGGGTCAAGGGACTGAGGCAATGGGTCAAGGGACTGAGGGAATGGGTCAAGGGACTGAGGGAATGGGTCAAGGGACTCAGGGAATGGGTCAAGGGACTGAGGGAATGGGTCAAGGGACTGAGGGAATGGGTCAAGGGACTGAGGGAATGTCTCAGGGGACTGAGGGAATGGGTCAGGGGACTGAGGGAATGGGTCAAGGGACTGAGGGAATGGGTCAAGGGACTGAGGGAATGGGTCAAGGGACTCAGGGAATGGGTCAAGGGACTGAGGGAATGGGTCAAGGGACTGAGGCAAAGGGTCAAGGGACTGAGAGAATGGGTCAAGGGACTCAGGGAATGGGTCAAGGGACTGAGGGAATGGGTCAAGGGACTGAGGGAATGGGTGAAGGGACTGAGGGAATGGGTCAAGGGACTGAGGGAATGGGTCAAGGGACTGAGGGAATGGGTCAAGGGACTCAGGGAATGGGTCAAGGGACTGAGGGAATGGGTCAAGAGACTGAGGGAATGGGTCAGGGACTCAGGGAATGGGTCAAGGGACTGAGGGAATGGGTCAAGGGACTGAGGGAATGGGTCAAGGGACTGAGGGAATGGGTCAAGGGACTGAGGGAATGGGTCAAGGGACTGAGGGAATGGGTCAAGGGACTGAGGGAATGTCTCAGGGGACTGAGGGAATGGGTCAGGGGACTGAGGGAATGGGTCAAGGGACTGAGGGAATGGGTCAAGGGACTGAGGGAATGGGTCAAGGGACTCAGGGAATGGGTCAAGGGACTGAGGGAATGGGTCAAGGGACTGAGGGAATGGGTCAAGGGACTGAGGGAATGTCTCAGGGGACTGAGGGAATGGGTCAAGGGACTGAGGGAATGGGTCAAGGGACTCAGGGAATGGGTCAAGGGACTCAGGGAATGGGTCAAGGGACTGAGGGAATGGGTCAAGGGACTGAGGGAATGTCTCAGGGGACTGAGGGAATGGGTCAAGGGACTGAGGGAATGGGTCAAGGGACTCATGGAAAGGGTCAAGGGACTGAGGGAATGGGTCAAGGGACTCAGGGAAAGGGTCAAGGGACTGAGGGAATGGGTCAAGGGACTCAGGGAATGGGTCAGGGGACTCAGGGAATGGGTCAAGGGACTCAGGGAATGGGTCAAGGGACTCAGGGAAAGGGTCAAGGGACTGAGGGAATGGGTCAAGGGACTCAGGGAATGGGTCAGGGGACTCAGGGAATGGGTCAAGGGACTCAGGGAATGGGTCAAGGGACTGAGGGAATGGGTCAAGGGACTAAGGGAATGGGTCAAGGGACTGAGGGAATGGGTCAAGGGACTAAGGGAATGGGTCAAGGGACTGAGGCAATGGGTCAAGGGACTGAGGGAATGGGTCAAGGGACTCAGGGAATGGGTCAAGGGACTGAGGGAATGGGTCAAGGGACTAAGGGAATGGGTCAAGGGACTGAGGGAATGGGTCAAGGGACTGAGGCAATGGGTCAAGGGACTGAGGGAATGGGTCAAGGGACTCAGGGAATGGGTCAGGGGACTGAGGGAATGGGTCAAGGGACTAAGGGAATGGGTCAAGGGACTGAGGGAATGTCTCAGGGGACTGAGGGAATGGGTCAGGGGACTGAGGGAATGGGTCAAGGGACTGAGGGAATGGGTCAAGGGACTGAGGGAATGGGTCAAGGGACTCAGGGAATGGGTCAAGGGACTGAGGGAACGGGTCAAGGGACTCAGGGAATGGGTCAGGGGACTGAGGGAATGGGTCAAGGGACTCAGGGAATGGGTCAAGGGACTCAGGGAATGGGTCAAGGGACTGAGGGAATGGGTCAAGGGACTAAGGGAATGGGTCAAGGGACTGAGGGAATGGGTCAAGGGACTGAGGCAATGGGTCAAGGGACTGAGGGAATGGGTCAAGGGACTCAGGGAATGGGTCAGGGGACTGAGGGAATGGGTCAAGGGACTGAGGGAATGTCTCAGGGGACTGAGGGAATGGGTCAGGGGACTGAGGGAATGGGTCAAGGGACTGAGGGAATGGGTCAAGGGACTCAGGGAATGGGTCAAGGGACTGAGGGAATGGGTCAAGGGACTGAGGCAATGGGTCAAGGGACTAAGGGAATGGGTCAAGGGACTGAGGGAATGGGTCAAGGGACTAAGGGAATGGGTCAAGGGACTGAGGGAATGTCTCAGGGGACTGAGGGAATGGGTCAGGGGACTGAGGGAATGGGTCAAGGGACTGAGGGAATGGGTCAAGGGACTGAGGGAATGGGTCAAGGGACTCAGGGAATGGGTCAAGGGACTGAGGGAATGGGTCAAGGGACTGAGGCAATGGGTCAAGGGACTGAGAGAATGGGTCAAGGGACTGAGGGAATGGGTCAAGGGACTGAGGGAATGGGTCAAGGGACTGAGGGAATGGGTCAAGGGACTGAGGGAATGGGTGAAGGGACTGAGGGAATGGGTCAAGGGACTGAGGGAATCGGTCAAAAAACTGAGGGAACGGGTAAAGGGACTGAGGGAATGGGTCAAGGGACAGAGGGAATGGGTCAAGGGACTGAGGGAATGGGTCAAGGGACTGAGGGAATGGGTCAAGGGACTCAGGGAATGGGTCAAGGGACTGAGGGAATGGGTCAAGGGACTCAGGGAATGGGTCAAGGGACTGAGGGAATGGGTCAAGGGACTGAGGGAATGGGTCAAGGGAGTGAGGGGATGGGTCAAGGGACTGAGGGAATGGGTCAAGGGACTCAGGGAATGGGTCAAGGGACTGAGGGAATGGGTCAAGAGACTGAGGGAATGGGTCAGGGACTCAGGGAATGGGTCAAGGGACTGAGGGAATGGGTCAAGGGACTGAGGGAATGGGTCAAGGGACTGAGGGAATGGGTCAAGGGACTGAGGGAATGGGTCAAGGGACTGAGGCAATGGGTCAAGGGACTGAGGGAATGTCTCAGGGGACTGAGGGAATGGGTCAGGGGACTGAGGGAATGGGTCAAGGGACTCAGGGAATGGGTCAAGGGACTCAGGGAATGGGTCAAGGGACTGAGGGAATGGGTCAAGGGACTGAGGGAATGTCTCAGGGGACTGAGGGAATGGGTCAAGGGACTGAGGGAATGGGTCAAGGGACTCAGGGAATGGGTCAAGGGACTCATGGAAAGGGTCAAGGGACTGAGGGAATGGGTCAAGGGACTCAGGGAAAGGGTCAAGGGACTGAGGGAATGGGTCAAGGGACTCAGGGAATGGGTCAGGGGACTGAGGGAATGGGTCAAGGGACTCAGGGAATGGGTCAAGGGACTCAGGGAATGGGTCAAGGGACTGAGGGAATGGGTCAAGGGACTAAGGGAATGGGTCAAGGGACTGAGGGAATGGGTCAAGGGACTGAGGCAATGGGTCAAGGGACTGAGGGAATGGGTCAAGGGACTCAGGGAATGGGTCAAGGGACTGAGGGAATGGGTCAAGGGACTGAGGGAATGGGTCAAGGGACTCAGGGAATGGGTCAGGGGACTGAGGGAATGGGTCAAGGGACTCAGGGAATGGGTCAAGGGACTCAGGGAATGGGTCAAGGGACTGAGGGAATGGGTCAAGGGACTAAGGGAATGGGTCAAGGGACTGAGGGAATGGGTCAAGGGACTGAGGGAATGGGTCAAGGGACTAAGGGAATGGGTCAAGGGACTGAGGGAATGTCTCAGGGGACTGAGGGAATGGGTCAGGGGACTGAGGGAATGGGTCAAGGGACTGAGGGAATGGGTCAAGGGACTGAGGGAATGGGTCAAGGGACTCAGGGAATGGGTCAAGGGACTGAGGGAATGGGTCAAGGGACTGAGGCAATGGGTCAAGGGACTGAGAGAATGGGTCAAGGGACTCAGGGAATGGGTCAAGGGACTGAGGGAATGGGTCAAGGGACTGAGGGAATGGGTGAAGGGACTGAGGGAATGGGTCAAGGGACTGAGGGAATCGGTCAAAAAACTGAGGGAACGGGTAAAGGGACTGAGGGAATGGGTCAAGGGACAGAGGGAATGGGTCAAGGGACTGAGGGAATGGGTCAAGGGACTGAGGGAATGGGTCAAGGGACTCAGGGAATGGGTCAAGGGACTGAGGGAATGGGTCAAGGGACTCAGGGAATGGGTCAAGGGACTGAGGGAATGGGTCAAGGGACTGAGGGAATGGGTCAAGGGAGTGAGGGGATGGGTCAAGGGACTGAGGGAATGGGTCAAGGGACTCAGGGAATGGGTCAAGGGACTGAGGGAATGGGTCAAGAGACTGAGGGAATGGGTCAGGGACTCAGGGAATGGGTCAAGGGACTGAGGGAATGGGTCAAGGGACTGAGGGAATGGGTCAAGGGACTGAGGGAATGGGTCAAGGGACTGAGGGAATGGGTCAAGGGACTGAGGCAATGGGTCAAGGGACTGAGGGAATGGGTCAAGGGACTGAGGGAATGTCTCAGGGGACTGAGGGAATGGGTCAGGGGACTGAGGGAATGGGTCAAGGGACTGAGGGAATGGGTCAAGGGACTCAGGGAATGGGTCAGGGGACTGAGGGAATGGGTCAAGGGACTCAGGGAATGGGTCAAGGGACTCAGGGAATGGGTCAAGGGACTGAGGGAATGGGTCAAGGGACTGAGGCAATGGGTCAAGGGACTGAGGGAATGGGTCAAGGGACTCAGGGAATGGGTCAGGGGACTGAGGGAATGGGTCAAGGGACTCAGGGAATGGGTCAAGGGACTGAGGGAATGGGTCAAGGGACTGAGGGAATGGGTCAAGGGACTAAGGGAATGGGTCAAGGGACTGAGGGAATGTCTCAGGGGACTGAGGGAATGGGTCAGGGGACTGAGGGAATGGGTCAAGGGACTGAGGGAATGGGTCAAGGGACTGAGGGAATGGGTCAAGGGACTCAGGGAATGGGTCAAGGGACTGAGGGAATGGGTCAAGGGACTGAGGCAATGGGTCAAGGGACTGAGAGAATGGGTCAAGGGACTCAGGGAATGGGTCAAGGGACTGAGGGAATGGGTCAAGGGACTGAGGGAATGGGTGAAGGGACTGAGGGAATGGGTCAAGGGACTGAGGGAATCGGTCAAAAAACTGAGGGAACGGGTAAAGGGACTGAGGGAATGGGTCAAGGGACAGAGGGAATGGGTCAAGGGAGTGAGGGAATGGGTCAAGGGACTCAGGGAATGGGTCAAGGGACTGAGGGAATGGGTCAAGGGACTGAGGGAATGGGTCAAGGGACTGAGGGAATGGGTCAAGGGAGTGAGGGGATGGGTCAAGGGACTGAGGGAATGGGTCAAGGGACTCAGGGAATGGGTCAAGGGACTGAGGGAATGGGTCAAGAGACTGAGGGAATGGGTCAGGGACTCAGGGAATGGGTCAAGGGACTGAGGGAATGGGTCAAGGGACTGAGGGAATGGGTCAAGGGACTGAGGGAATGGGTCAAGGGACTGAGGGAATGGGTCAAGGGAGTGAGGGAATGGGTCAAGGGACTCAGGGAATGGGTCAAGGGACTGAGGGAATGGGTCAAGGGACTGAGGGAATGGGTCAAGGGACTGAGGGAATGGGTCAAGGGAGTGAGGGGATGGGTCAAGGGACTGAGGGAATGGGTCAAGGGACTCAGGGAATGGGTCAAGGGACTGAGGGAATGGGTCAAGAGACTGAGGGAATGGGTCAGGGACTCAGGGAATGGGTCAAGGGACTGAGGGAATGGGTCAAGGGACTGAGGGAATGGGTCAAGGGACTGAGGGAATGGGTCAAGGGACTGAGGGAATGGGTCAAGGGACTCAGGGAAAGGGTCAAGGGACTGAGGGAATGGGTCAAGAGACTGAGGGAATGGGTCAGGGACTCAGGGAATGGGTCAAGGGACTGAGGGAATGGGTCAAGGGACTGAGGGAATGGGTCAAGGGACTGAGGGAATGGGTCAAGGGACTGAGGCAATGGGTCAAGGGACTGAGGGAATGTCTCAGGGGACTGAGGGAATGGGTCAGGGGACTGAGTGAATGGGTCAAGGGACTCAGGGAATGGGTCAAGGGACTCAGGGAATGGGTCAAGGGACTGAGGGAATGGGTCAAGGGACTGAGGGAATGTCTCAGGGGACTGAGGGAATGGGTCAGGGGACTGAGGGAATGGGTCAAGGGACTGAGGGAATGGGTCAAGGGACTGAGGGAATGGGTCAAGGGACTCAGGGAATGGGTCAAGGGACTCATGGAAAGGGTCAAGGGACTGAGGGAATGGGTCAAGGGACTCAGGGAAAGGGTCAAGGGACTGAGGGAATGGGTCAAGGGACTGAGGGAATGGGTCAAGGGACTCAGGGAAAGGGTCAAGGGACTGAGGGAATGGGTCAAGGGACTGAAGGAATGGGTCAAGGGACTGAGGCAATGGGTCAAGGGACTGAGGCAATGGGTCAAGGGACTGAGGGAATGTCTCAGGGGACTGAGGGAATGGGTCAGGGGACTGAGGGAATGGGTCAAGGGACTGAGGGAATGGGTCAAGGGACTGAGGGAATGGGTCAAGGGACTGAGGGAATGGGTCAAGGGACTCAGGGAATGGGTCAAGGGACTCAGGGAATGGGTCAGGGGACTGAGGGAATGGGTCAAGGGACTGAGGGAATGGGTCAAGGGACTGAGGCAATGGGTCAAGGGACTCAGGGAATGGGTCAAGGGACTGAGGGAATGGGTCAAGGGAGTGAGGGAATGGGTCAAGGGACTCAGGGAATGGGTCAAGGGACTCAGGGAATGGGTCAAGGGACTGAGGGAATGGGTCAAGGGAGTGAGGGAATGGGTCAAGGGACTGAGGGAATGGGTCAAGGGAGTGAGGGAATGGGTCAAGGGAGTGAGGGAATGGGTCAAGGGACTCAGGGAATGGGTCAAGGGACTGAGGGAATGGGTCAAGGGAGTGAGGGGATGGGTCAAGGGACTCATGGAAAGGGTCAAGGGACTGAGGGAATGGGTCAGGGGACTGAGGGAATGGGTCAAGGGACTGAGGGAATGGGTCAAGGGAGTGAGGGGATGAGTCAAGGGACTGAGGGAATGGGTCAAGGGACTCAGGGAATGGGTCAAGGGACTGAGGGAATGGGTCAAGGGACTGAGGGAATGGGTCAAGGGACTCAGGGAATGGGTCAGGGGACTGAGGGAATGGGTCAAGGGACTGAGGGAATGGGTCAAGGGACTGAGGGAATGGGTCAAGGGACTGAGGGAATGGGTCAAGGGACTGAGGCAATGGGTCAAGGGACTGAGAGAATGGGTCAAGGGACTCAGGGAATGGGTCAAGGGACTGAGGGAATGGGTGAAGGGACTGAGGGAATGGGTCAAGGGACTGAGGGAATCGGTCAAAAAACTGAGGGAACGGGTAAAGGGACTGAGGGAATGGGTCAAGGGACAGAGGGAATGGGTCAAGGGACAGAGGGAATGGGTCAAGGGACTGAGGGAATGGGTCAAGGGACTCAGGGAATGGGTCAAGGGACTGAGGGAATGGGTCAAGGGAGTGAGGGAATGGGTCAAGGGACTGAGGGAATGGGTCAAGGGAGTGAGGGGATGGGTCAAGGGACTGAGGGAATGGGTCAAGGGACTGAGGGAATGGGTCAAGGGACTGAGGGAATGGGTCAAGGGACTGAGGGAATGGGTCAAGGGACTGAGGGAATGGGTCAAGGGACTCAGGGAATGGGTCAAGGGACTGAGGGAATGGGTCAAGGGAGTGAGGGAATGGGTCAAGGGACTGAGGGAATGGGTCAAGGGAGTGAGGGGATGGGTCAAGGGACTGAGGGAATGGGTCAAGGGACTGAGGGAATGGGTCAAGGGACTGAGGGAATGGGTCAAGGGACTCAGGGAATGGGTCAAGGGACTCAGGGAATGGGTCAAGAGACTCATGGAAAGGGTCAAGGGACTGAGGGAATGGGTCAAGGGACTGAGGGAATGGGTCAAGGGACTGAGGGAATGGGTCAAGGGACTGAGGGAATGGGTCAAGGGACTGAGGGAATGGGTCAAGGGACTGAGGCAATGGGTCAAGGGACTGAGGGAATGTCTCAGGGGACTGAGGGAATGGGTCAGGGGACTGAGTGAATGGGTCAAGGGACTCAGGGAATGGGTCAAGGGACTCAGGGAATGGGTCAAGGGACTGAGGGAATGGGTCAAGGGACTGAGGGAATGTCTCAGGGGACTGAGGGAATGGGTCAGGGGACTGAGGGAATGGGTCAAGGGACTGAGGGAATGGGTCAAGGGACTGAGGGAATGGGTCAAGGGACTGAGGGAATGGGTCAAGGGACTGAGGGAATGGGTCAAGGGACTCATGGAATGGGTCAAGGGACTGAGGGAATGGGTCAAGGGACTCAGGGAATGGGTCAAGGGACTGAGGGAATGGGTCAAGGGACTGAGGGAATGGGTCAAGGGACTGAGGGAATGGGTCAAGGGACTGAGGGAATGGGTCAAGGGACTGAGGGAATGGGTCAAGGGACTCAGGGAATGGGTCAAGAGACTCATGGAAAGGGTCAAGGGACTGAGGGAATGGGTCAAGGGACTGAGGGAATGGGTCAAGGGACTGAGGGAATGGGTCAAGGGACTGAGGGAATGGGTCAAGGGACTCAGGGAATGGGTCAAGGGACTCATGGAAAGGGTCAAGGGACTGAGGGAATGGGTCAAGGGACTCAGGGAAAGGGTCAAGGGACTGAGGGAATGGGTCAAGGGACTGAGGGAATGGGTCAAGGGACTCAGGGAAAGGGTCAAGGGACTGAGGGAATGGGTCAAGGGACTGAAGGAATGGGTCAAGGGACTGAGGGAATGGGTCAAGGGACTGAGGCAATGGGTCAAGGGACTGAGGGAATGGGTCAAGGGACTGAGGGAATGTCTCAGGGGACTGAGGGAATGGGTCAAGGGACTGAGGGAATGGGTCAAGGGACTCAGGGAATGGGTCAAGGGACTCAGGGAATGGGTCAGGGGACTGAGGGAATGGGTCAAGGGACTGAGGGAATGGGTCAAGGGACTGAGGCAATGGGTCAAGGGACTCAGGGAATGGGTCAAGGGACTGAGGGAATGGGTCAAGGGAGTGAGGGAATGGGTCAAGGGACTCAGGGAATGGGTCAAGGGACTCAGGGAATGGGTCAAGGGACTGAGGGAATGGGTCAAGGGAGTGAGGGAATGGGTCAAGGGACTGAGGGAATGGGTCAAGGGAGTGAGGGAATGGGTCAAGGGAGTGAGGGAATGGGTCAAGGGAGTGAGGGGATGGGTCAAGGGACTCATGGAAAGGGTCAAGGGACTGAGGGAATGGGTCAGGGGACTGAGGGAATGGGTCAAGGGAGTGAGGGAATGGGTCAAGGGAGTGAGGGGATGAGTCAAGGGACTGAGGGAATGGGTCAAGGGACTGAGGGAATGGGTCAAGGGACTGAGGGAATGGGTCAAGGGACTGAGGGAATGGGTCAAGGGACTGAGGGAATGGGTCAAGGGACTCAGGGAATGGGTCAAGGGACTCATGGAAAGGGTCAAGGGACTGAGGGAATGGGTCAAGGGACTGAGGGAATGGGTCAAGGGACTGAGGGAATGGGTCAAAGGACTAAGGGAATGGGTCAAGGGACTGAGGGAATGTCTCAGGGGACTGAGGGAATGGGTCAGGGGACTGAGGGAATGGGTCAAGGGACTGAGGGAATGGGTCAAGGGACTGAGGGAATGGGTCAAGGGACTGAGGGAATGGGTCAAGGGACTGAGGGAATGGGTCAAGGGACTGAGGGAATGTCTCAGGGGACTGAGGGAATGGGTCAAGGGACTGAGGGAATGGGTCAAGGGACTGAGGGAATGGGTCAAGGGACTAAGGGAATGGGTCAAGGGACTGAGGGAATGTCTCAGGGGACTGAGGGAATGGGTCAGGGGACTGAGGGAATGGGTCAAGGGACTGAGGGAATGGGTCAAGGGACTGAGGGAATGGGTCAAGGGACTGAGGGAATGGGTCAAGGGACTGAGGGAATGGGTCAAGGGACTGAGGGAATGGGTCAAGGGACTCAGGGAATGGGTCAAGGGACTGAGGGAATGGGTCAAGGGACTGAGGGAATGGGTCAAGGGACTCAGGGAATGGGTCAAGGGACTGAGGGAATGGGTCAAGGGACTGAGGGAATGGGTCAAGGGACTCAGGGAATGGGTCAAGGGACTGAGGGAATGGGTCAAGGGAGTGAGGGAATGGGTCAAGGGACTCAGGGAATGGGTCAAGGGACTGAGGGAATGGGTCAAGGGACTGAGGGAATGGGTCAAGGGAGTGAGGGGATGGGTCAAAGGACTGAGGGAATGGGTCAAGGGACTCAGGGAATGGGTCAAGGGACTGAGGGAATGGGTCAAAGGACTGAGGGAATGGGTCAAGGGACTGAGGGAATGGGTCAAAGGACTGAGGGAATGGGTCAAGGGACTCAGGGAATGGGTCAAGGGACTGAGGGAATGGGTCAAGGGACTGAGGGAATGGGTCAAGGGACTGAGGGAATGGGTCAAGGGACTGAGGCAATGGGTCAAGGGACTGAGAGAATGGGTCAAGGGACTGAGGGAATGTCTCAGGGGACTGAGGGAATGGGTCAGGGGACTGAGGGAATGGGTCAAGGGACTGAGGGAATGGGTCAAGGGACTGAGGGAATGGGTCAAGGGACTGAGGGAATGGGTCAAGGGACTCAGGGAATGGGTCAAGGGACTCATGGAAAGGGTCAAGGGACTGAGGGAATGGGTCAAGGGACTGAGGCAATGGGTCAAGGGACTGAGGGAATGGGTCAAGGGACTGAGGCAATGGGTCAAGGGACTGAGGGAATGGGTCAAAGGACTGAGGGAATGGGTCAAGGGACTGAGGGAATGGGTCAAGGGACTGAGGGAATGGGTCAAGGGACTGAGGGAATGGGTCAAAGGACTGAGGGAATGGGTCAAGGGACTCAGGGAATGGGTCAAGGGACTCAGGGAATGGGTCAAGGGACTGAGGGAATGGGTCAAGGGACTAAGGGAATGGGTCAAGGGACTCAGGGAATGGGTCAAGGGACTGAGGGAATGGGTCGAGGGACTCAGGGAATGGGTCAAGGGACTAAGGGAATGGGTCAAGGGACTGAGGGAATGGGTCAAGGGACTGAGGGAATGGGTCAAGGGACTGAGGGAATAGGTGAAGGGACTGAGGGAATGGGTCAAGGGACTGAGGGAATGGGTCAAGGGACTGAGGCAATGGGTCAAGGGACTGAGGGAATGGGTCAAGGGACTGAGGGAATGGATCAAGGGTGCGGCTGAGACTATGGTTCAGTGATCGATCCTCTTGTGGAAAGGATTCCTCCTTGCTGCTCTTCTCCTAACACCTCTGAGGACCTCAAGTTCGTGGGAGACGCCTAACCTGCTGCATGCCTAACCTGCTGCTTGCCTAACCTGCTGCTTGCCTAACCTGCTGCTTGCCTAACCTGCTGCTTGCCTAACCTGCTGCTTGCCTAACCTGCTGCTTGCCTAACCTGCTGCTTGCCTAACCTGCTGCTTGCCTAACCTGCTGCTTGCCTAACCTGCTGCTTGCCTAACCTGCTGCTTGCCTAACCTGCTGCTTGCCTAACCTGCTGCTTGCCTAACCTGCTGCTTGCCTAACCTGCTGCTTGCCTAACCTGCTGCTTGCCTAACCTGCTGCTTGCCTAACCTGATGCTCGCCTAACCTGCTGCTTGCCTAACCTGCTGCTTGCCTAACCTGCTGCTTGCCTAACCTGCTGCTTGCCTAACCTGCTGCTTGCCTAACCTGCTGCTTGCCTAACCTGCTGCTTGCCTAACCTGCTGCTTGCCTAACCTGCTGCTTGCCTAACCTGCTGCTTGCCTAACCTGATGCTCGCCTAACCTGCTGCTTGCCTAACCTGCTGCTTGCCTAACCTGCTGCTTGCCTAACCTGCTGCTTGCCTAACCTGCTGCTTGCCTAACCTGCTGCTTGCCTAACCTGCTGCTTGCCTAACCTGCTGCTTGCCTAACCTGCTGCTTGCCTAACCTGCTGCTTGCCTAACCTGCTGCTTGCCTAACCTGCTGCTTGCCTAACCTGCTGCTTGCCTAACCTGCTGCTTGCCTAACCTGCTGCTTGCCTAACCTGCTGCTTGCCTAACCTGCTGCTTGCCTAACCTGATGCTCGCCTAACCTGCTGCTTGCCTAACCTGCTGCTTGCCTAACCTGCTGCTTGCCTAACCTGCTGCTTGCCTATCCTGCTGATTGCCTAACCTGCTGCTTGCCTATGTTAGATTATACTACTCTTCTGTATCCTGCATTGATCCTATAAACCCTAGGATAGAGATAGGCACCCAAACTATGTTTGGGTGCACAACTAGGGTTAACCCTAGGTGGGGGTTGGAACCCAACCTTGGCCCAATTATTGGCCTCCAAGGTTGGGTTGGAGGATTATTGGCCCCCCCAATAATGTTGGCCCACTTTGACCAACATTATTGGGACCCCCCAATAATTCTCCAACCCAACTTATTGGTGGGGGCCAATAATGTTGGCTAGGTACCAACCACCCCCCTTTCCTTAGCTCCAACTATGTAAGCCCTCATCATTCCTAATCAACTCATCGGTTCAATTCTCACATGTTATCAGAGCTCTTACGGCTAAAGCCACTCAAGATCCTAGGACCATACTGTACCTCCCGCCGGCTCTGCCGTGCCCCTTGCGCCACTTAGCGCACCTCCCGCCGGCTCAGCCGTGCCCCTCGCGCCGCTCAGCGCACCTCCCGCAGGCTCTGCCGTGCCCCTTGCGCCACTTGGCGCACCTCCCGCCGGCTCAGCCGTGCCCCTCGCGCCGCTCAGCGCACCTCCCGCCGACTCTGCCGTGCCCCTCGCACCATCTCGGCGCCCCTCTCCTCACCACGTCCGCCCGCCGCGACGAACGCGCCCGTCAGCCGCGGACGCGACGAACGCGCCCGTCAGCCGCGGACGCGACGAACGCGGCCGTCAGCCGCGGACGCGACGAACGCGGCCGTCAGCCGCGGACGCGACGAACGCGGCCGTCAGCCGCGGACGCGACGAACGCGGCCGTCAGCCGCGGACGCGACGAACGCGGCCGTCAGCCGCGGACGCGACGAACGCGGCCGTCAGCCGCGGACGCGACGAACGCGGCCGTCAGCCGCGGACGCGACGAACGCGGCCGTCAGCCGCGGACGCGACGAACGCGGCCGTCAGCCGCGGACGCGACGAACGCGGCCGTCAGCCGCGGACGCGACGAACGCGGCCGTCAGCCGCGGATGCGACGAACGCGGCCGTCAGCCGCGGACGCGACGAACGCGGCCGTCAGCCGCGGACGCGACGAACGCGGCCGTCAGCTGCGGACGCGACGAACGCGGCCGTCAGCCGCGGACGCGACGAACGCGGCCGTCAGCCGCGGACGCGACGAACGCGGCCGTCAGCCGCGGACGCGACGAACGCGGCCGTCAGCCGCGGACGCGACGAACGCGGCCGTCAGCCGCGGACGCGACGAACGCGGCCGTCAGCCGCGGACGCGACGAACGCGGCCGTCAGCCGCGGACGCGACGAACGCGGCCGTCAGCCGCGGACGCCGCGGAGACGCCCACCAGCCGCGACGGACCCTGAATTAGGGTTTGCTGCTACCGCCCGTGGAGCAGCCGGACCGCTCTGTCCCTCAAGACGGTGTCGTCCACCTCCCCTCCCTCCCTCCTCCTCCTCTCATGGCCGACGAATCAACCTCGCTTGAGCTTGCCTCCATCGACAAGCTCGAGCTCCTCAACGGCACCACCGCCGTCAATTGGGTGTCGTTTGAGGAGAGCCTCTTCACGTACCTGGGCTCCGTTCGAGTGGGAGATTACTGCCTCCTAGACGTTGTCCTCGAAACACCTAATGGCCTCCCCCCCACTCCGCCCCCACTCCCAGGCTCCTCCCCCCCCGACGCCCCACCACTCCCGACCGAACCTGCCCCCCAAGCCCCTATCCTAGGGGCTTGGGAGGATGATCCGGACAGGTGGGCTCGCACGCTCAACAAATACAACAAGGAGCGGGACGACTATGTCATCAAAAGCAGAGCACACGCAGCTGCCATCGCCGATCACGAAGCTGCCACTGCAAAACTTGCAGAATTCAAAGCCGCCTCCGAAGAGTACTCTGCTAAGCTCCGTAAGCACCACTCTGATACAGCTGCATGGCGCATTGCTGACCGCCGTGCACTTACTATCATCTTCTCATGCGTTCCCTCCTCTCTCAAGCGTGACCTTCGCCCCCCATCTTCCCCCTCCCTCTGGAAGTCTCTCTCCTCCCAATATGATCGCCAGGACTTACGTTCCCTCCTCTCCCTCTTTCGCACCTTCCAAGACATCACACTGGACTCCTCCCTCAACGCTGCTTCCTTCGCTCGGCGCCTCACGGACACTGCACAACGTCTCAATGATCGTGGCATCTTGATCTCCGACACCCTCCTCACAGCACGCATCCTTGACTGCCTCCCACCCACCTACGACACTTACCGCATCAATTTCACCTCCCAGCACATCCGTCCTCCTCCTGTGGCTGTTACCATCGACTGGCTCCTTGACAGTGAGGCTGACCTTCTGCGTGAATCTGCCTCCATCATGCGCGCAAAGGAACAAACACCGGCGGAAGCAGCGGGGGCGGACCAGGACGTGGCTCGGGCGGTGGTGGAAGAGGAGGCGGTCGCGGAGGTGGACGAGGAGGGCGCACTGGGGAACGTGGCGGGCGTGGGGCAACCACTTCAACCACGGGTGGGCTCCCTCCGTGCCAGTATGTCATTCGCCAAGGCCCTAACAAAGGTCAGACCTGCAACCAGACCACCCATCCCACTGATACGTGCTTCAAAGCTCTCACCGACGAATGGCTTGCACGCGGCAACACGAGCCCTCCTCCACGCTGGAGCACCATCACCCCTCGCCCCACCCCTCATGACATTCGCACCCTCCCCGCCTATGCACCATCTCCCCCCAACCTCCATAATGTCCTCGCCCAACACCTCTCCCCTCACGTCCTCCAGCAAGTCCAACACCTCCTCCCCACACCCACCACCACCCCAACGCCTCCCACCCTCACCACACCCACCCTCGCACCTCAAACCCCTCCCTCCCCCTATCCTCCTCTCTCCCCTTATCCTCCTCCTTACGCTGGCTGGCCCTACCCTCCCTACCCCCCATCTCTGTATGGCCATGGGACAGCTGCAACTGCTGCAACTGCTGCACCTGCTGAACTACCCACCTCCCCCTCTCACCCCCCCGGCTTCACACCGTTTCCTTCCACGGGTTTCATAGGTCATGTCACCACTGCTAGCTCTTGCAATGATCCTATGTATGCCAATGCTATTAATGAGTCCTCATTCCAGTACTCCGAGTCCCCCTCCTCCTCAAAGCCCCTTGAGTTCATCCTTGATAGCGGAGCCACGCACACGGTCCTTCGTGACGCAGGCACGCTCCTCCCCCTCTCCACCCCCTCCACAATACTTGGGGCTGACTCCAGCTTTGCGATACAAAGCCGTTACACCTCCACACTCCCCTGTCCCCTCTTTCCCTCAGGTACTGTCACAGGTCTCTATATCCCCTCCCTTCGGAACAACTTGGTATCCCTTGGTGCCCTCTCCGACTCAGGTGTCACCGCCATATTCCCTGGTCACAAAGCATATTGCGACTTATTTCACACCTCCTCCGGTCGCTTCCTCTGCCGTGTCCATCGGTGCCCCTCCACCCACATGTACACCTTCCGCATCCCCCGTCCCACCCTTCACCAACTCTCCACACCCCATCCCCCCGCCCCTTCCCCTCCTCTCGAACTCCCCCCTCCCCCTCCCCCTCCCCCTCCCCCTCCCCCTCCCCCTCCCCCTCCCCCTCCCTCTCCCCCTCCCCCTCCCCCTCCCCCCGCCCCTTCCCCTCCCCCCCCATCTAACCCACCCTCCCCCTGTCACTGTCGTGATCTCACACACCCCACCATTCTCCTCCACCATCGCCTCGGCCATCCCAACTTTGCCACCCTTCGCCGATCCATCCTCACTAAACTCCTTGACGGCCTCCCCCTTACCCTTCCCCCCCTCCCTCCTTCCCCCTCCCCTCCTTGCTCAGTTTGTGTTGAAAGCAAGCTGAAGCAACAACCACATACGAGTAACCCCTCCTTTTCCCTCCAACCCCTTGACCTCGTCCACATGGACCTTTGG